CTGACTAAAGATGCATCCTTGAATTGTTCATGTTCATTTGTTGAATTTGTTGATTACGTTTAATTTCTTGACCTCAGCAAATTCTGTATTTTCTACCTCCTTATGTATCTGAACTGTCTAAATAATTATCAAGTCAGCCTGCTGCTGCCTGAAGAATATATCGAGAATCAAAGGAGTTACGTCAGCGGCACTTGGAAAAACTTGTTCATGCATTTTCAACTCGACTACTGTCACAGTTCTCTAAAAAATCAATCAGACAGCTGCAGCTGATTCAGAACGCTCGTGTCCTCTCCAAGACCAGAAAAGTGAATCACATCACTTCAGGTCTAAGGTCTTTACATAGGCTTCCTGTTGGCCACAGAATTGATTTTAAAATGCTGCTGTTGGTTTATAAAGAACTGAATGGTTTAGGGCCAAAACGTATTTCTGATCTGCTGTGACATTATGAACCATCCAGACCTCTCAGACCCTCTAGGACGGGCCCACTGTCACTTTTTTTAAATTTTTTATTTTTTTACATCAAAAACTCCTAGAAAAGAGCAGGTCTGCTGCAACTTGCATTTCTTTTAAATTAAGGCTGAAGACTTTTACTTTCTGCCTTCATCTTTCACTAAATAATGGATATTTTGCACTGCACTGTAAAGTTTTACTTTCGGTTTTATCTTATTTTATTCTGTAGTTAACTTTTTAAATTATATTTTTATTGCTTTTTGTTGCTTTCATGCTTTTCATGTTTTCTGTACAGTGGTTTGAATTGCCTTGTTGAAATGCGCTGCACAAATAAACTTGCCTTATCTAAAGGACTTTTGTTGGTTCTTCCCAAAACAGCTAATTATTACTATTATTAAGTAATTTCTCATCTGACAACTGTGTGTCCTGCTAAGGCAACTCAAATTTAGTGGTTCGTTTTAGGGTAAAGCTGTAGAGAAAGAGTTAAAGCTGTTCATTTTAGTTTCCATGACATTTTGTACAAACACTTACATTTATCAATACCACAATATTGGATGGATTGCCTAAAAATATTGTAACATATAGTCACAGCATCCTAAGAATGAACTACAATCACTGAAGATTTGTCTCAGAATGAGCAATGTTAAAATACATTATTTTGTTCTGTAGAGGTTCATCATTTCTGCATCATGTCTTCATTCTATTTCACATTGTTATGGACCAACAACATTACACAGAAGGAAAAAAAAAAAAAAAGTCATCATACAGCCTGTATACTAGCAGACATTCAGCTCCCCTCTTATATCATTGTTCTCTTTCATATTTCAGGTGTCTAAAAGTGCAGCAAGGTCAGAACCGACACTGATTAAAGTCATAACAAATTGAAATTGCACTATTAAAATGCTGTTGTATCTGTTGTAAAACTGAGACTCATTAAGATAATAGGAAATTACACATTACAAAAACCTATTACACCATTGTGCTCGTAAGTTGAATACCTGCGCTCTCTTTTTCCAGGTCATTTGCTCTGCTCTCGATGGAAGTCAGTCTAGTTCTGTGGCTTGACCTGGAGAATAGAAGGAGTTTTTATCGTTTTTGCCGTGAATATCTAAAGAATTTAAACAATTCAATCTGTGATATATTTGTTCTTAAAGATGCCCTGATAATGAAGGTTTTGCAGAAAAATGTGTACCGGAATTTTCTTTCTGCGGTAGCTCCAACCAACTCAGCATTCAGCTCCTCCACCTTTCTGTACGTCTCCTTTGTTCCGGCCTCCATGTTTCTCAGCTCTACCTTGAGCTCCAGATCCAAATCTCTCAGCACCCTCACCTCTGCCCAGATGTCAGGGGTGATTTGCTTTGGGATCTGCTCAGCAAGTTCCTCATCTCTTTGAGTTGTCCTCTGCAATGTGCCGATATCATCCACCTCGCCAAGGCCCCATAGACACACACACTCACACACACTCACACACACACTCACACACAGAGTAACAACAGCAAACCAAGAGCAACCCTCATTGTTCACTTACAGTAGAGTTGGTCTGTTGTGTATGAGCTCCAAACTAAGCTTGCTGAACGAATGGGGGGAAAAAAAACAACATGTGCTTTTGTTTGACTGATCTCTTCACTGGTGAGAAAATGCAAGCTGCTGCTTCAGGCTGGTGGAACACATTTAATATAATACACAGTCTCATGCAGTCACAGCTGTGTACACATGGTGTTTATTAAAACACACTCACAGAAACACACTTGTCCTGATGCTAGGACTTCTTAGTGTGACTAAGGGTTATGTGATTAAATAAAGTCCAAGAGAAGTACCTTTTTCTTTTCCCCTGCCTCACTACTTACCTCCGTCTCCTTGACACAAAATTATAATAGATGAGCATTAAAAACTATTCTCTGTTCATGCAGCGAGTTTGATTTACGGGCTCGAAATTTTTAGTTTTTTAATCACTGAGCTGAGACCCGGAGAAAATGCAGCACTGTGGTCTTGCACCCTCTGGTGCTAACAGAAGTACTTAAACTCAATTTGGATGCAAGGATTGTTCAGATTGAGACGGACATTCATTTATGAAAAGTTCCTCTTTGAAATTAGAGGGTTACGTTTTGTACAAACCTTTTTAATTAATAATGACACATGGAAATTACTTTTTAAAGACACTGCAAATGAGCAATTGATTACAAACCAGAATTGTTGAAAACATATGTTATGGACACAAAATATGCTCATTTACTCCCACATATGCTGACATGAATAAGACCAAAAAGGAGAGCCTTATTAATATTGGATTTTTGGGGCCAATATCTATCAGGAAATTAAGATTACTAAGATTAGTCCATTTATCCTTCCATTTACAATGAGCATTTGTCCTATGGAGAGTTGTGGGAGTTATAAACACACACACAAATATATATATATATATATATATACACACACAAACACATATATAGACGTGTAATACTAAGAAGAGAAAATGATGGGGTCATTGTTTAACTTTGCAGTAATGCATTTCACAAATTAGTTAGCAGCTTACCGTGCAGATGCCACTTGACTCCGTACCGCCGTCTGCTCAGCTGTGATGTACTCTGCTACATGTGTTGCAGACAGTACTGAGCGCACCCTGTCACCCTGTTGGACAAACTGTGTGATGACATCGCTTCCAAACTATCCCAAGCATTTTTTATGCATTATGATCTGTATCAAAAAAGTTTCCACATATCGGACAACATGTCAATATGGATATATCTGCTCCAGGTCAGTATCGACTGAAAATACTGGCCAACCAATACATCAGTCAGGCTCTACTTAAAAGTAAACAACAGCCTGTGCAGGAGAGGTAGGATGCTAAAAGATTACACAAAGACTACAATAAACGCAATTCTGGCTTTCCAAATTCTAGCAGCTGTGATTTCATTTCACATAAATTCATAGTGAGTAATTAAGTAACACAATGTGAAGCTGCAAACAAATCTAAATGGCCATCGCTCAGTTGCTGGACTGATTTGTAGGCATAAATTACGAACACAATCAGCCAGTCACCATAATTGTCTTCCACTGAATGTATTTTGATGCAGACTAAGATTGAGGTGATTTGGGGGGATTTTGTTGTATTGTCTTGACAGAAGCGTGAGTCTTGTGTTGCTTTTCGGGAGTTTTCTTTAACTTTTTTATTCAATTGGTAACAGTTGCAAAAAGATTTTTGATGACTCATAAGATGTGATCCAATCTTCGTCTAGGTCATAAAACACACCATTTAAACTAACGGATTAGAAATGGTTGTACTGTTCTTATTGAACACAACGAGTAATCAGTCATAGTCCAGGGTGGGAAAACTATATTAACTTATGTACTAAAAACTTCTCCAAAAGCTACTTGGCGCAAGGTGTTCCAATAAAGGAGATGAGATTGGAACTGTGGGCTGTAGAGGTGCTGCTTCTTATAAATCACAACTTTCATAGGACTGTAGATGAAACATTACAGAGCTGAACAAAGCTGGAAAAAGCCACAAAAGCATTTCTAAAAACAAACAAAACAAAAAAAAAACCTGGGTGTTCATAAATCCCCAATAAGACAAATTGTCAACAAATGGAGGATATTCAGGGCCATTGCTACTCTACCTCGGAGTGGGCATCCTGCAAAGATCCCACCAAGATCACAACATGAAATCCTGAAAAATTTGTAAATGAACCCGAGCGTAATGTCAGAATATCTGCAGGAAACTCTACAACTGTCTAAAATCTTTGTGTATGAAAACAAAACATTGCAGCACATCTCAAGGACCACCTGGATGTCTCACAACACTCCTGGAACAACATTCTCTAGACAGATGAAACAAAAAGTGGATTTTTCTTTTAGCCAAAATGCACAATGCTGTTGCACACCAACAGTAAAATCTCATCCAAACTGTGAAACATGGCAGAGACAGCGTCACGGTTTGGAGTTGCTTTGCTACCTTCGGGCACCTTCCGCTCATTGAGAGCGCAATGAATTCAAAATTGTATCAAGACAATTTTACAGGTGAATGTCAGGGCAGCAGAACATGACCTGAAGCTTGTAGGAGAGGCTGGCTGATGCAGCAAGACAACGAATCCAAAGCACAACAGTAAATCAACAACAGCGAGACTGAAAAAGAAGAAAAGTCCTGTTTTAGAATGGCCAAGTCAGAATCCTTTGTAAGGGAGGAATAGTCCAAAATTCCACCTCGTTGTTGTGCAGATCTCATGTGTGTTTATATTTATGCTATACTTAATCTACACTTAATAGTATAAACAGCAATATCATGTAATAAAAATGCTCGAATCAGAAAGACATGTAACCCAACAGATCGAACTACGAATCTGTTACCTCTACGAAAAAGTTTTCAGTCCTAAATGGCATCAGGTCAAAGCAGACCTGAGTCATCTATAGACTGCTCTCCTACAAAACATAAACGTCAATAACTCAGTGATGAAGAGTTTGACTCACATGAAACGTTGCCAATTTCCTATTTTTCCAAACCGACAGTGCTGTTGGATTTTTATTCTACAAAAATCACAGCCGGTCAGACATCAGATTCTGTTTGTATTTTAATGCACATTCCAATGTGGATTTCAAATGTGTAATTAACAGCTATATTTAGAGGATTGTGTGGCTTTGATGGAGGAGTTCTGTGCATTTCACTAACAAATTAAATGACACCATAATCATCTGAGACAACAAATCAAACAAATGTGTGCAAAAACATGAGGCGAAACAGACACATTGCTGTATCATCACTGCTGTAATTAAATGATATACACAAAATACCTTGAGGATACAAATCATTAACAAAACTTCTAACCTCTTAAAGTTTTTGGGTGTAAAATTAGATTTTTTTTTTAACACTGGACTTGAATGTAGTTGGATAATCTCATTACAGAAAAACAAAACTAAGACTAAATTACAAAAAGTTTCCCCGCAACACAGGACCTCAAGAAAATGTAATGGTGATGTTATCTGAGGATTTAGAACGCAAATAAATAGGGTTAAAGAAGCAACTGAAGCATTTAAGAACAATTCAATAAAAACAAAACCATTTACACAAGTCCAAGGTTAGCGTTATTGATAATGAACTCATCATTTGTAACTGGTTAGTCCATGGTCCAAATAAACAAACATGCAGAACCTCTGGCAGTATGTTTGGCATCCAGCCTCTCCCTTTTTGAGGATATAATGAGAAGTGTAACAGTTCTGCATTTGTGAAATGCAGTGCATGCACCGCTGGTAAAGGTCTTTAAAAGGACTTATCTGGTTAAACATTACTGAGCATTATACTGTGTACCATCAGGGGAAACTAATGGGATTCTACCTGCAGTGATTGTCTCCAACACTAACCCTGAGAAGTGCATGACAAAAAAGAAAAAAAAGGAAAGCCACCAATCTGCTCTTAGTTTCGGGAAGATGTCAAACCCAAAGTTAAGGCAGCTCTAAGACACGTAAGCACAATGACAACAAAATAAACCTTAGCATCTTAAGTCATAATAGCAGAAAAATAAAGTTCCAAGGCACATCAGCAGTCTAAAGTACAAAACAAAAAATCTTGAAATAGCAATCTTTCAACTGTGTACTACATCTCTATTAACTACCATGATGAGGCACTACAAACAATTAAGGTAGCTTAATTGTGTTGTTATCAGTAAAGGCAGTTCACAAAGTAAATGAAACAAGTAAATACAAAAGGAAGACTAAAACAAAGCTCTGAATTTAACATCGTTAGTGGTGTCTCTTCTAGACACTGTCCCTGCACAGGTCCACTTGTCAAATGTGGACATCTGTGTGCAACTACTACTTTTATCAGTGATGCTTATGAGCTGCGTTTCTACGTAAACGGTCACTTTACTTATTGCTGATCAAGAGTTATGTTTAGTGTTGCAAGGTTTATTCAAAATAGCTTGGAAAATTCTTCTTTTTCTTCTTTTTTTTAAATTTACTATTTTCCACAAGCCAAGTTTCAGAAACATTTTTCTAGTTTGAAAAAAAAAAAAAAAGAAACAAAAACTTCCATATTTACAAAATCCACCCCAGATTGAAAAAAAGCCAATTTATCTGATGAAATCTGATGAGACTTTGCCAAAAGCTGGTTTGTGACCAATTTTAACTGGATCCCTGTTTCAAAAAGTCGTACGGCATTATTTGATATTTCATCGCTAAGGCAGGACTGCTTCTATATCTGAGCATCTTATAGCTGAGTATCCCTTAAAACCACACAAACTGTCATCAAATGAAAGCTCAGTCATACATCCACGTTCAGCACCATATCCTGAATCAGAGTTAGATGTATGTCACACATTTTATATATTTGTATATATAAAAGACATGTCGAAGGTGCTGGAGTGTAGCAGGTGGTACAACCTAGCAGGCAGCCCCACTAGTGTCGAGGAGAGATTTAAAGTCATTCCAAAGCACACATTCATGGTGTATGTACATCTGTGTCTGTCGGTTGTTAGTGTCAATTAACTGAACGTGTTTAGAAAGTATTGAGTCGCAGCAGCCGATGCTCTCCTTCCTCATCCTGCAGGAGCAGGATCACACTTCTTCAAAGAAGGCCATCTGAGACATGTACGCAGAGTTTCGCTGCAAAACAAGACAAGTATGAGCTGTCAGAAACAGACGTTTACAAATGTATATATATCTTCATGTAAATATCAATATCACTGCTTTTGATATTTTCAATTCATTCAAATATTTCACTTCTTCAGTGTTTCCCATCTCATAACAGGAGTTTAAGGAGTTTCAGCTGTTGACTTATGGAAGCTAGTACATGTCTATGCATGCTACAATACATACTGATTTTCAGAGCACATCATTCTACTGAGAAACGCTGTCATTTGGCATGTGAGCAATTCTGTACAAGTCCCGGAAAACAGTAAAATACGTATAACGTATAGCCTTTATGTTATGTGTTCAAAGGTTGTTAACACAAAAAAATTAACATATTAAAAACAAGGACAATGTTTGTGATCCATGCATATTCAGTACCACGGCATTGTCAAAAAATGTACTGTAAAATGAAATAAAGAAGCAACTATGATGGGTTTGGACCCTGTCTTTTCACTACAGTTCCAATTAGGTTTTGAATAATGTGAACAGAAACTCCAGTTTTGGCATGTAGTCAGTGATTTAGCTGTGGTTTGCATTTCAGTCCTTATTAAGAAATGATAAACAGAGAGGAAACCACTTAATATTGTTATTATTGATTATGAGCTAGATTCACTGGTTTATTCACTCTATTAACTCTGTGAACCTCAAGCACTTTCTGGGTGTTTTCTGCCCTTGCACCACTTTTACATTTTGCAAAACAAAGGCTCTGCTCCTGTATGAAAACAGCACAGTAATGACTAGAATAGCGAGAACTCAGAATGACAATGTTATGATGTCATTCACAGCAAACAAGTAAAAACAAAAAAATGTTATGGCTACTTTTTTTTTTTTTTGATGTTTTTTTTTTGTTTTTTGCCTTTTTTTGTGGTTGTTGGTGGTGATGGTGGGGCGTGGTGGGGAGGGTGGTGGGGTGATGCGCTGCAGCTGATGCGCTGGTTGGTGTCGTCGCACGGCTGCTGTTGTGGTGGTTTTTCCCCCTTTTCCTTGGTTGGCTTGCCTTCCTTGTTGGGTTTTCGGGCGGCCCTTGGTTCTTTTTTTTTAAAAATTGAAAAACCTTGGACTCACCTTGACCACTTGTTTTTTTGTTGCTTCCGGTTTTTCCCGTTCTTGGAAAGGACCGGTTGCTTCCCCTTATTTTGGCGTTTTTAGTGTTTACATTGTTAATTTGCTTCCATGCTTTTGTCTTGTCTTCTCTGAGTAAGCATGACCTGCAGTTCAACACAGTTCAGCTGAGTTTTCTAATTTTTATCATGCTGATTCTTATAAAGGGAGTGTGATGAAATACCACATTTGTAAGGTTAGATTTGGTGCAGTTGTACAACCACATGGCACTCTAAGGGGAGTAGTTCTAGAAACTCATTAAAGGTCAAAATGATTCTCGCCATTTTTACAGTTTCTGGCTCTGATAAATGGTGTAATATTGGTTGATTGTGAGGACAGCATGCCTTGGAGTTCACAGAGCTAAACCATGGACAGGTAACAATGAACAAGTAAAACTAATAATTTTAGGACTAACGACACTAATAGTTATAAGAGTAATGACAATAAGAAGGAGTCACCACACATACGTTGCTGTGAGGTATGTAGACGGGCTCCTGGACGTATCCTCTCGCCTCATTTTGGAGGCCGTAGAGGCCGGCCTGTTGCTGCTGCTCCTCCAGCTTCAGAGATTCGATCTCTGACTTCAGCTCCTTCAGCTGGTCCTGCAGGTGTTTACTCTTCTCCATGTACTCCAGCCTGAATTAATGCAAATGACAAGATATCATCAACAAACGGAGCCAAACTGTCTTTGTAAAGTGTCGTTCCGGGGGATGCAAACTCCAGCTCACCTCTCTCTCTCAATCTCCATAGACAGCCTTTTCATGTCAGAGTCCTTGAAGTCGAGACGCGTCGACGCTGATTCGTAACCCAAGTCGGTTGCCTCAGGAGGAGCAGGAGGAGTAGAATAGGCTGCTATGAGCTGGAAGACAAGCAAACAGATGTCAGGAAAGGAGCTACATTAACGACAGTAAAGCACATTTCATTACCGCAGTGGGCACATCGCAGCAAAACAACGAGACAGATTGAAGCTTCACTTAATGAACATTATCAGCACATGAAATGTTTTCAGTAGTGTGGATAATGTTCACAGGTCTCTGTTTCTCTGAGTGACAACGTACAAATGAAAGCAAACTATTTCCATCTACCCACCTTCACCCTAAAATAAATGCTTTAAAAAGTTTTGTCGGCGCTGTAGCTCACTGAACAAACGGTTGACTGTGTGAACTATGATTCATTACTTGTGTGAACTTGGTTACTACACAACATCTGTCTTGAGCAAAAAAGTAATTTGTCGATCCGTTTCAAAGAAAGAAACACATCAGTGCTACTGCTTGTTTGTTGTGAAGTATCAACACTAATCAATACTCTTCTCCAGGTCTTAAAAAATCCACAGGAGAAGGAATTCCAACCTCTTTTGTGGCCACTAAAGACACTCTGTGTGACATGAAATCAGGAACTTAGACAAACAAATGAAGCAACTTGTGAAAAAATAAAAATCCTCCCAAAATATAAAACCACAAATTGGTGATTCATACCGTAGCAGCATCAAAGTTCATAAATATCCTATTAAGCAGAGCAGTGAATCAATGGTCTTGGTTTATAACTGCACTGTAATAACCTGGATTTATATCTCAGAGCTACTCAATCACTTTCTAAACAAAAAAACAAGCATTCATGCACAAAAAAACAACAACAAAAACACCAAAGGCATCTCTAAGAGCATAGAGGCAGCAGTTTCATCATCACAGTACAGGGTATGTTGTTTTGGTGATCTCCAGCAGCTTCGCCTTGGCCCTCCGTTCAGCATCCTTTGCCTCAGTCAGGTCCTGTTTCAGGTGATCTGCTTCCTTCAACCTGCAACAAGAGGTTTGGTTAGTTCAAGCCTGATGGACAAGAGGAACACTGTTAATATACAGTGATAAATACTTGTTTTCCTGTGTATTCTGGATACAGGGGTGGAAATTCATTAAGTACCTAGTGATGGCTTTTCTACTGAATACATTTTTAAGATGTGGAAAGAAGCAAAGTGTTGGACTGAGGGATGGTACTTGCACTGAGGAACTTTTTTTTTTTTATCCTTCACTTCAACAAATACAGAACAAGTTGGCTGCAAGTCCTTGCACTAACATTTGGTGTGAATCGTGGGACCTTGAATGTACACAGCTGTGTATCTGCAAACTCTGTCTAATCAATTTGGTTTGCCACAGCTGGACCCCAATCAAGTTCTAGCACATTTTCAAGGATAATTAAATCAAACAGGATGCACCTGACTACACTTTAGTGCGTCACAGCAAATGACCTTAACACTCTGTAAATGAGAATTTTTTAGATTTTTAAAAACATGTTTTCACTTTGTCATTACGGGCTCCTGAGTGTCGAATGATGGGTAAAAATGCTCCGTTTATCTATCTAAAATAAATCTTCAACAAAGCATGTGCGAAAAGTGAAAACATCTAGATACTTTCTGAATCTACTGCTGCACAGATTTGTCCTTATGAATTTACTACCGTTAAATAAAATTGCAGAGGCAGTGATCGCTGAGTCTAAGTGATTTCTACATGACACAGCAAACAACCATCAAAGTGTAAACCGCAGCTTTCGATTGACAGAACGAATCACAGAACAAAAGACATAAAATGACACTTTGCACATAAAGAAGCGAAACAGATGTAATAATTAACCAAAATAAATGCTTTAGGTAGGACTAGTTAAGATGATTTCAGACCTCCGCTCAGACTGCTCCACCAGTTTTACAGCCAGCTGTTCCGCCTCCCTCATCTTCTGCTCCATCAGCCTTTTCTCCTCCTTAGTCTTCATGGCTGTGACCTCTAACCTCTGCCTCTCCTGCTCAGCTTCTGCAGCCTTGTGGGCCAACAGCTTGGCTTCCTCCTCAGCAATCTGGGCCTTCTCTGCTAGCAGGTCCGCTGTCTCCTCAGATCTCAGCTGGAGGAAACGAATTGTAACATTTAATTAACAAGATTTATTATTAAGCAGAGCACATTAGGACTTGATGAAGAATTCTGGCTCTACAATGCAGACAACATAATGTTATTATGAACAGGTTGTTGTCATGAAACATGGATGGAAGGCCTGCTGGCCAAATGAAAGCTAACTCAAAAGTCTGTAGGATTTAACAATTATCTCATGTGAAGGATGCAGTTCTCACCAGCGCCTCGTTGGCCAGTCGTGCTTCATCCTGCAGCTGGAAGAGTCTTCGTTCCATCTCCTCCTTTGCTCGTTCCGCTTCCTCCCTCATTTGTTTTTCCCGTGCCAGGATCTGACGCTCCATCTAGATCGAAGCCAAAAGAAACACAGTTAAAAATAATGACAACCAGCCATGATCAAACGACAGACTGATCCACATCCAATCTGATATTCTCATTGCTCCAGTGGAGTTGACGGAGCACGAACCTTCTTGCGGGCCTTCTCCTCTTTGGCTTGAGCCTTCATCTGTTGCACTTCAATTGAGTCCACTTTCCTCCTCCTCATGAATAGGTCGTGGTTCCCGATGCACAACTGCAGGATCTAGAGACACGGGTGATAAAAAATGAACAATAACTTAATTTATTTAAGTCTTGCAACTTTGTAAAAGTTGAGCATTTACATGGATGAACAAGTAAACCAACCAGCTTATTGACACGCAGTTGAGATGAGTAGAACTTGAAAACATCTTTCTTCTTGTCCAGGGGTTTGATTGTGAACTGCAACAGTGCAAAGATAAAATGCTTAATTCGGAGACATCTCTACAACCGTACAGTTAACTGGTTGGTGAAAATCTCAAACTTAATGACTGCAGCTGTCGATAAACATCATTTTCAAAAAGGCCAATTCATGCTTTCTGCATCTGAGTCCACATACAGCTGCAAACCCACATCAAAACTTTAAAGTTGCACACATTTCTATACATTCTACAGCTGGACTAGAAAACACAATGACGACCTCATCGGCAAGAAGGTGGGGTAACGTGAAAAAGTTTAAAAATCTGTGCAACCGCCTAAAAACAATAGAGTCAAGGATGTGTACAAACATACAGTTCAAACATCATGAAATACAAAAAAAGACACGTGCAGTTGATGTACTTGTTATGCAGACAGCAAAGTTCTAAATTTTGGACAGTGGGTTCCTGACGAATATACTTAGATGACAAAAATATGTCACACAAACCCTTGCAGACATGCAGACGCAGAAACAATGAACTGGCCTTAACAAATAACAGAGGTTTTTCGAAGCAGGAAAGTTGTGAGAGCAAGAAAATAAAAACACTCATTTATCAGGTACCTTTTCACTGAAACAATACAAAAAAAATAAAAGAATAACTCAAGCATATTCTCCACATTATGGATGAAGTATTTAAATCCACTTAGACAGTTTGTAAAGAAAAACAGTGAGTTCACTGCTTGCGATTACCTCCTTTTCACTGTAAGAGATGTTACGGATGCCGCTCCAAGGAAAAGATTTGTTGGGGCTGAGCTTGCTGTTGGGGCTGTAGATGTGAAGACCCTGTGCATCCACTCCAAGTAACAAGTCTGTGTCCCTTTTATTTTGCTGTTGATGTGATGTGGACACAGAAATGTAAACCAACAGCAACGTTCGAAGGTTACATTTTTCATAATATTATGAAAAGTTCATCCAAATTGACAGAACATCAAGTCACAGTAATTTGCACTCACAGTAATGGCGAAGTAGCTGACACCGTACATCTCAAGGTCCTGAGCAATCTTTAGGTATTCCATCTCCGCTTCATCCCTGTATAGATGATGTGAAAATAAGGAAGGAAATAGATGTGAAACCATGATACATTTATCACACCTCAACTACAGAATGTAGAACTACACCTTCTGTAAAGGTGTAAATTTGTCTTCACTCGCTGGGTTTCAGCAGCCCTCCTGGGTCAGTCTTACCTGGCGATGCCTCTGTGCTCAGCGTACCAGGCTGTGATCTTCTCCTCCCACATGTCAGCTGTCATTTGGTACTGCATCAGGACCTGGGATACGCAACACACAACATCACAATCAAAACATTATATACTGAAAGCATCCTCGCATGCAAACATTGGCTAACTAATGTAATGATAAAGTACTCTAAATAAAAAAAAAATGCTGCAAGTGAACATCCAGATTTCAAAGACAGTCAAATATGCCACATAGTACTGCACACTTACTCTTTTTGGCAAAAGCTCATCCTGAGCCAGGAAGCCCGGCTTGTGAAAGTTTGGATCATAATCTCCATACTGTGATTGATGGGGAGACAGCGGCCAACAAGAAAAACATTAATGTCAAGCACTGCAAAAATAAATTTTTCACATCATACTAAAGATCTGTGCTATCGTGTGCATCCAAAGGGAATTCATTTTGTTTTGCATTCATTAATCTCATAAGGTTGCTGCCATTTGTACAGTTGTATCCACACTCTGATCCAAACATTGTAATCTGTTTCTGCAAAAAGCAGAATTTCAATTGGGCTGCAATGGAGAGAATGTTTTGACGTTTTTACAGCAGATGAACTGAGAATTCAACCTCATGCGGCTTTCTTACCTTGGCTTGGACAGCATATGATGCCAACAGAACAGAGGCTTCAGGGGAACAGAATATTTCTTCATCTAATATCTGTTTTTTCACCTAAACAAGATTTCGATGACACGTGAGAACATGCACTGACCTACATTAAAATTTTCTAAACATGGAGATAAATTCTACTGAAAAATCAGGCCTGTGGTTATTTTAAGAAATGTTTCCAGCCACACTACCTGTAAGAAGAAGAGGTGCTGAGTAATTTCTTGGACCAGTTCCTCTTCTACTTTTTCTGGGAAGAATTTAGCCAGGAAATGAAATGTTATAGGAGAGTCCTTGGGAACCTCCTGGTCCAAGACCTTGGTGAACGAAAAAAGAATAGTAACAGAGAAGAGGAAAGGAGCACAATAATGGTTTATTAGACCAGTCTCTCACTAAAGTGTCAGTGCAATTGCAATTAAGGAATGTATCAAGAAAAAGTGACAAACATTAGCTCATTCCATCGACACGGATGTGAGTTGTGTTGTTTTTTTTGCATACTTAATAACAATTAGGCCTCCACGTGTTCACTCCGTCACTCACCCGTTTCTCTTGCTTCAGCCAGGCGTAGGTGTCTTTTACTGTGTACCTGAGTCCAAAGAACCAGGTCTCCCTCAAACCAACAGTGCGACACACCAGGTCAAACAGGTCTTTACCTTTCCACTTTACCTGGAAAAAAAAAACAGTGAATGACAAAAAGACCAGTGAGTTGACCTGAGCTGTTGTTCTGTATTCATTTTTACTGAATAACCCATCCTCAATTTGTTTGAAGTAGAATATCACTCTGAACATTATGGCAAAATCCTGATGTGTCTGATTTACTGCCAAGGTTTCCTGCAGTTTGGAAGTGCGCCACCTCACCTCAGTATAACCACCTCTGCAAATAACAGTTCATTTAAAGAGATAAAACATTAACCTTTGTGAGGAAAACAGTAGAAACATTATCTAATTTTCCGGTGGTAAACTGACACTGACTGATACTTTCAGGGGAGATTGTATGACATGTTTTAGAAGAATGCATGCATTGCAACATGATTAGTCAGCTCTTTCCTTCGTCTTTGTAACAAGTGCAGTGCACTGATACTAAAACTTCTGAAATGTGTCTGAAAAATCTGCACATCACTGCATATGGAAAGCAAATATTGTTACTTTTCTGGGGCATCTCTGGTTTTCTTCAGTTTGCTTATCCATGAATCTGAGAAGGCTGATTTCACGGAAGCCAAAATGATTATACAGTATAAAACAGAAGTGAGCAGAAGTGAGCCCTTAAATGCTAAACTTAAATGCTAAAGGATTCAAAACACAACCACATTTGAACAAATGCACTACTTCTAATTCATCAAGCAGATTATTTCCGCAAATGAACAATTGGAACCAAAAATGTAAGAAAGACTGCAAAATTGAGTACACCTGTGTTTTCTAGTTGGAATAATTGCATGACTGAGGTTATAAAATGACCTTTCTTAGTTTTGGACTGATCTGCTGTTTCTATCTGCATGCCTGCATCATGGCTCCACAGGTAACTGCATAGAAGGACTGAGTCCGTTCTCAAAAATATAGGTGAACAAACGAATCACTGAAAAAGCAAAAATTTGAATCTCAGGAATGAAAGGTGTACTGACCTTTGTTGTATAGAAGTGCTGCTATGGGGCCTGTATTTTAAATATGTAAAGTCTAACCTGTTAGTTTTTTATTTCACACAAGAGCAAATTGCCTACTGCTCCACTAAAAGGTAGAACAGTTACAGTAATTTAATGCAATTTTGGATCATTTGACATTTAAGTGATATTGCAATTAAGTGATACTCACCTCAGTTGTATACTGTACAAGCAAATACATACACACACTAGATAATTGAACACATTGACCTGGATTTGGAAGTTCTACAGTTCTCCATCCAGATAAAGCAATCTTTAAAGGTCAAAAGTTGCCTAAATAAATCCATACCTCACAGCTGAACTCCATTTCAGCATCCATAGTGATAACTTTGACTTTGAAAGTCTTTGGCTGTTTCTTCTTTAATCCCAGGATAGACATTGTGGGGCGTTTCTGTCAAAGAAACCTGTGGAAATGAACAGAGCTACTCTCAGGGCTAAATATCACATTTTACAAGTGATTAGATGGACATGCGTAGTGACTGAAGTAGCACATTTAAAAGTAATTTACAGTTTTAAGCACCTGGCCACAACTGTACATAAGGGTCCTGTTTCTAAACTGTTTAGCGATAAGTACTTCTCCTATCTATTTTACATGAAAAAAGTCACTCCTTTTTGTTTAAAGACAACAAACATTTCAAATATAGATTAGGCCCATTACCAGAGAGGAAAGCCACAAACTTCTGCCGTCCAACAAGACTCAAAAGAAGTTGAGTTTTTGTGTTGGTGGACCACTGCTAAGCTAACCTCTACTGCTAACCAGCGTTAGCTTCCCAGCTATGCCACGAAAACGGCCCAAAACAAGAACTTTTGGGAGACCTTCATGATGAAACGCATCGAATTAAATGACTTGTAAATGTTAGAGGAGCTTCAAATAACACTTTGAAAGAACTCTGCGAGCGCTATCGGCTGCTCCGTGTTTTAGCTGGTTAGCTTGCTGGTAAGGATCAGGACGACTTTCCAGAAGACTTTTGTTTTGACTCCCAAACGCTCTACAGGTGGGAACACGAACAGCAGCTCGGGATGACGCTACTGCGCATGTGCAGCTATCCAAACTGTGGCATGCCGCCTTCCGTGGCTGTCGGACAAATTAAAGTTTGAGTCTTTTCGGGCTGACAGTGTGGTGAGCGTGAAGGCAACAGCAGAGTTTCTTGGCAGAAATTACGTCTCTGGGTATTAAACAGAAAGCACATGAAGGCAAGAAAACGTTTCAACAAATACGAAGCCAAAAGTTATTTCCTGGTGACGAAAAAAGCAGAAAGTGCCTTGAACGCTCCTTCACCTCCAGTCTTTACTGAGGGAATAGCACACCCTGATCTCTACTATTATCGCTTCCTGGTCCAGTTTGCTGCAGCAACTCTTTAATGTTGTTCGATTATGTATTGATTGATTGGCGTGTGAGGACTGGAAGAAGAAACTGCTTGAATAAACCAACCCGGGAGACTACTGTTGGTAACGCTGACTCTTTGCATGTTCATTTATTGTCTAGTGTCATTCACTAGCAGTAGCATTAAGCCAGTGAGCTTTCCACTTCAACTTACATTGCATTTGTTGTCACATTTTCCAGTTTTTCCACGTGGGATTTAAATAATGGTTAAGAGCTACTACAATTTGTCAAGTCGTCACTTGAAAAAATATCAATCTGCAACTAAATTGATAATCGATCGATTATTACAGTCACTTTTCAACCATAAACGTAAAACATTTGCTATTTTTTTCTTTTAGAAGTGAAGCCTGAGGTAATGTACAGAACAATCTAAAGCTTGATTCATTTCTATCCTTGTGACAGTTCAAGTTTGTCATTTTACCTTATTCATTTCATTTTTATTAGAATACTTTAGTTAATGATTTTGATTTTACTATGTTTACCTTATCGTAGCTTTATTGTTATTGTCAATCAAGTTTCTTATATGTGTGCCTGCATTACTATTTTCTTACCTGGCTACATTGTAAATGAGGCCTCCACGTAGCTCAGTGTATTCTGAGCTCAAATAAAGGTTGAATGAATGATTTGGTTGACTGCTTCGTTGTTGTTAATGGCAGTTTTATGAAAGCACTCAGTGGATTGACATATATGGAAAGTAACTGTTAGTTGCAGCTCTCCAGTGTTTTATACAACCTGTAAAATAAACTGAATATCTGTTGCTGGTTTCCCAGAATTCATTTGGTGTTGGTCAGATTTTTACTTGAACTTCACTACTCATGGTATCACAAAACAAACTACTGTAAGACCAAATCAACTGAAACAAAATGAATCTGCAACTATTTTAAGCAAAAATGTTGAACATTTGCTGGTTTTAGCTTCTCAGGTGTTAGAATTGGATGCTTTTTGATGATAATCACTTATATAAAAGTATTGTGCAGATTAATATATAGGAAAATATTATTAGTTGCAGCCCTGTAATGGGTTTTAAAACTTTTAAAATAAACTGAAAATTATTTGTCAGTCTCCCAGAATTTATTTGGGATTGGTCAGATTTTAGTTAGAACTTGGCTCCTCATGGCATAACAAAATAAATTGCTGTAAAACCAAATCAAAACCATGAAGTAAGGAGATGAGCTTGTTAGAATATGAAGGGCCACTAGATGTCTAATTTTCATGTCAATTTATAATGAATGATCTGTTCTTATTAATTCTGCTCATTGTATATTGTCTCTGGTTCTTTTGAGCAGATTTGTATAATGTCGGCTGCCTCGAACACGTTTGAAAATGTGAAAGCGGTTATCTTATCAGCTCATGAAGGCACCACATCAAAAGAAAAGGTGAACTTCTACAACTCCTGGGCACAGAACTATGATCAGGTGAGATAAATGTTGTTAAATGACAATGGATTTTTTTTCCCAGTTAATCAAAAGGAGAGGTAGCTGAGATTACTGTACAGAAATATGCTAAGAAAATAATGCAGTTCAGTATATATATATTGTTGCTCTGTGTCTGTCTAATTTTAGAAAATGAAAAAAGCCTCCTGTTTATATCTAGTTAAAGGTTGATCCATAGTGCCACCGCAGTTCTATACTGTTTATTTGAAGACACAGTCGGATGAGTTTGATATTTTATTTATTTATTTATTTTTACATAGTCAAAAATATGCATAGTTTCCTAACACCTCTTTTAAATAGGATGTGGCTGTTCTGGACTACCGTGCACCATGTCTGGCAGCAAACAGCATCTCGTCCCATTTCAGTGATGAACGTGAAGCAGCTGTCGTGCTGGATGTGGCCTGTGGTACAGGGCTGGTGGCCAAACAGGTAAAAAAAAAAAAGAAAGAAAGAAAGATAAAGAACAGATTCCTGCCCCAAGAAGCTGCATATTTTTTAAAAGAACCCTTCTGTTTTTTGTTTTGTTGTCAGAGTGAGCTTATAAAATACTAATTCTGTTTTGATGTGGTCTGTTTTCGTTGTGATGTTATAACCTTTTTTTTCTATGTCCTTGTACTTACCCTGTCACTGACAGTTTGACTGATAAGCAACCAAATGTGTCTTTGTTGCACAGATGAAGAATCATGGATTTAGACATTTTGTGGGTATTGATGGAAGTGAGGTAATGTTGGAGATGGCCAGAGAGAGCAGCTTGTACCAGGACTTGAAGCAGGCCCTGCTGGGAGAGGAGCCGCTGCCGGCCCAGTGGGGTAATTAAGTCTTTATGAATTCACCCAGATCATTGATCACTGATTCAGTCTGTGATCCTCAGGCAAGGTGGTTTTATTAAGTATTTGTGTGTCTTTAGTTTCTCACTGCTTGGAGCTGTTACAGACTTATTATTGTTCTAATTGCATATAAGTCACTTCTTAAAGTTGTGGTTGTTTTATTGTTGATCCTGCTTCTGCGTCCGTGATCGATGTTATAATCTTATTTGGGAAAAGTTAAGATATTATAGCTATTAAGTATTATTGATCTTGTGTTTTTTTTTGTCATTAGCAGCAGCCATTGTGGGCACTACTTTTAGGAGCACGATTGTCTCATTTTCTCTCCCTGCTCTTCACTTCTTCCAGAAAATGTGTTTGATGTGGTTGTGATTGTTGGAGCACTGAGTGCCGGTCAGGTCCCTGTTTATGTGGTCAGAGACTTGTGTAGGTCCACCAAACCAGGTGAGAATATGACTTTGATGTAGTCTCCACTTCAGTTTTGATATGTGGTTTTAAAATTCTCCTTATTTAACACTGAACAACCCCACTGCACTGTCACCTCTTTCCACTAGGTGGCTACATTTGCATGACGACCAGAAGTAACCGTGACAATCTGGAGTACAAAGCCGCCCTTGAGTCTGAGCTGAGGAAGATGGAGGAAGAAGGGCTCTGCACTTGTGTTGAGGTCACTCAGGTGAAAGACTGGGAGAAAGCCGTGTCAGAACATGAGGATGGCTACATATCTGGTGCTGTGTACCTCTATAGGAAACTACAGGTATAACACAGTGCAGAACAGCGTGAAGCCATGGGACATGACAGGGGCAATTACTCAAGAAGGTGCACAATTTCAACTAATTCTCAATGATTTTTTTGGACGTTGTCAGTCTCATACTGGACCAAAGATGTGAAACTGCATTCACAGATCATGTAAATTTGAAATGTTCACGATTAAATGTTTCAGATTTGTATGTCACAATATCCATGCAGAGGCATGTTACAGTACAATTGGTCTGAAAAATGTGACTGTCCTCTTCATAAAGCACTAAACATTTCTACAGATGTGTGGAATCTTGTGGGCATTCAGTGAAGTCTTCCTTTTTGAACATGCATGACATGAGAACCTTCTAATAAATAGCGACTTTTGTCTTTTCACTGTGGGGCTTTAGTGCATTGATATTGCTATTCAGAAGGGCTGGTCAATGAGTATGAATGCATTTCATTTTATTCAAATGCAGTGTTTCACAAAGTGTTAGGCCACTTATGTTCGGCTTGAAGCTTATTTTGCTTTTGGGAAATTTTGATCAAATGTTGAAAAACAATAATCCCTTCATCCCTGTGGACTTCTATTTTCTTCACACAGAGCAGAACTTTAACTTAGACAATTAGAAATTAATAATGGTTTAAGTCATACTATTGTCACCTTTTATAATAACTTTTTTATTATTATTATTTTACAATTTTCTGTTTTTCACCAAGTGTTTTTTTGGTGTTTTGTTCATTTTTAGCAACTGAACAGAAACCATCTACTCTGAAAAACCAACATTAAGGAAGCATAGGACTGTATATTGTTGGTTGATGTTGTGTTATATGTATTTTTCAGGTCCATTCATCTGTCAGAAAACACTAAACCAAGTTTCTGTACACATGCACAGTCCTTTGTACATCTCTTTAGATGACATTACATTAGCATTAACTTACCCTAACCAGGTCTTTACCTCATAACTTGTTGAGTTACATGATGACGGCTCCCATAATGTGACCCTGTTTGTCCCCACAAAACACTCAAAGTTTTAACTTCAGAGCATAATAAGTGACACAAACGTTTGTTCCGATCTATTGCAAGGTAACACCAAGGCCAGAATGGCTGATATCATGTCTGAAACATGCTGTTACTAAAAATGGCTCCTGTGCTGTCACGTACTGCAGCGAGAGACATGTTCATAAATAGAATATATAACATTTAACTTCAGGGAAAGATGATCTGATCATTTTCCCTCTATTTTTATGACAGTTTATACACTAAGCAGTCAGTTTTGTAGAAGTGGAAACAGCTGAAATATAATAAAAATATACAATGTGGTTGATTACAACAGTTCAGAAAGGTAAAACCAGCACATAAGAATAATGTTTGATATGATTGTCTTTGTATATATAATGTCTTTATATATAATGACTACAGCTTGGAGGCAGGATGTATTCTAAATGTGTACAAGCGTACCAGTAGAAAATGTTCATTTTTGGCCATCACTAGACGACACTCTGTTTAGGCCTCCAGTGGTCTCAAGGTAACACTGTGCTACACTTGGACAATATTACATTTGCTGCTGTACAGCTACACACCAGGATCTGGTGAACAGCAGGTCACAGAGATAGACTGGGAGGAAATATGTGAGTCTAAGCAAGCGGCCAAAGTAAATGAGAAATTTGCAGCAAACGGAGGAACCGTAGCGAGAGCGTTAAGGAGCTGCAATTAATAAAATCCTGGAAAAAGATTTAGAAGAAATGATTCATTTAAAGTGTATATTTACTGAACAGCGTTTTCTTTTCTTTTTTTTTTAACTGTGAGCAGCTGTACAGGAGTGAATGGGTTTATTGTCCTTTGCTTTCTTTTCATCTTTTGATTTCCATCCAATGAGTTTTTTTTTTTCATAACTATAATAAGTTCATGGTTATGATTTACTTCTCAGGAGGTATATAATCGCCAGTTGTGAGTGGGAACTTTTATTTCCTCTGAGTTTTATTCCCTTACCTCATCAGACAGAATAATGCAAAGGACACTTGAAACTGTGAAAGACGTGGTTGCATCAGTTCACGAGATTGTTACATTTAGTGATAAAACTGGCTTCTATGACACTTGGGCAGAGAACTATGATCAGGTAATGTAACTCATTAAGCTATTTCGGATGGTTTACATCACATAATATACCCTTACTCACCTTAAGATCCTTCAAAGAGCAGATCTACAAGAAGTCCTCATTCTTATTTTATCCTAAACTCCAGTCAAGGTGTTGTGTACTAAATAAGAAGTAGTAAAGAGTAAGTAAAGGTATGTGCTGCACTACTGAAATGTGTCCTTGTAATTGCCTTATATTAAGTAAACGTACAGAACTACTGGGAAGAGGATCGTACAATGTTCTCAGAATTTTTTTTTGTGTTACTTGTGCTTTGTTAGGGGAGGTTAACAAGTGCACCATATCTTGTAAGTAAGTATATGTTAAAATGTATGATTATAGTACAATATGACAATTATATCTCTAAATGGAAACACTAATGTGGTTTTTATGGATCCTTAAACTGATACTCACACAGTACTTGCACAGATTAAATGAGAAAATGTCCCCCTCCCCCCATGTTCCCTCCAGAACACAAATGCATGAGTTTTTCTTATCTGATACCTTCAACAGGACACGATTACTGCCTGAAATAAAAATGACACCATTAGCTGCCGTGTCATGCTCTTATCAGTGCTGAAGTGAATGATTTCTCCACTCCTGCTGAAAACACAGAAGGTATTAGGGAATTGTAAAAGGAAAGGGAGTGGATGGTCACTGTAGTAGTAGTACCCCTTTGTACACTCAAAATGTGTTGTTTTTTTTGTTGTTATTGTTAAAATACTTTTTTTTAAAATTCAAAATTGTTATAACATAAAATTAGTTTACCGATTTGCCAGTTTACTTACCAGTGAGGCCTTAAAAGTGGAAGGAGGCCTGTTCTGTAAATCATTCATTGAGAATAAAAATTGGAACACCTGCTAATCACGTACATGTGTTTTAAAAGTTAGAACTGTTAGCTAATAGTGGATAAATAGCTGGCTAAGACTAAGTGTCGCTAGCATTAGAAATAGTTTTAAATATCATCTTATGCTTTTTGTTGTGGTAATCACACATAACTATCAGCCATAGATGGACCTTGTCCACACTGAGGATATTTTATCAGATTAATTTTCTTCAGTTAAATTGTAATCTTGAAATTGCTTGTGTGAAGAAGCATAGTCTAAGAAAGAACCCAATATTGTATTGTTATTTGCTGTTTTAATTTAATGTGATTTAGAAGGTGTTTGAAAACGTCTCAGTTTCCTATAACACCATCTTGTTGACATGGCCTCTGTTACAGTTTTATCTGTGTGACCTGTGTCAGCATTATGTGGAGATTGATGGGAGCACGACCATAAACACACGACTGTACCAAGACCTTAGGCAATGCATTCTGGGAGAGCAGCCACGACATGTACCAAGAGGTTGTGTGACAGTAGCAAATGTTTGGCAAACTTACTTAAACCTGAGGTGACTGATATTTTTGGAGGCACAGCAGAAAAGGAAGAGCAAATGTATTATTCATTGGTGTGGTGCTTTTTAAGCTTCATTTAACTCATTGTTTTGTTTCTCATCATTACCCTGAACCTTGTGTTCAATGGAGGGAGGCTGTTAGTTTTAACTTTGAGATACCTACCACAAAACAGAGCCTAGAGAATAAAGTTATCGGGTGTGGAAAGTGAATTCAGTGAAAGTTGCTCTGTGTCTGCTGGATGTGTAAATTGTTTACTTACAGCTTTTTTGATGGCTTTCTGTTGCAAAAAAAAACAAAACAAAAAAAACCCCACGATTCACAAGGGTGAATTTGAAAGGAACTAAAACCTGTTGATGTTTGTGTGCGTCCACTCATTCTTCCTGTTACTGCCATCAGAGAGCTGTATAATACCTGCAGATCATTTAAAAACTAGTACAGCCATGATTAATTTATTTATGGCTGCATTTTCATCAAGGTTGTGCTTTTAAGTTTTAAAAAAGCAGAAATTTTAGTTGAAATAAGCCTGGACAGGGAACTGTGATGCTCCTCTAATGTTCAGTAACGGTCTACAATGCCCCAAAATACTTTTCTCTTCTACTAGAGGTCTACATTTGTGTGATGTACAGACATAACCATGACAATCTTAACTACACAGCCGCCCTGGAGCATGTCTGGATCTGTGTAACCCTAAAAGTAGGTGTAGTCCAGTGAATGTGCGTGTGGCATTACACTGGACTTGCAAATGTACATGTTGACATTTTGGATTATTTAGTGCATGAGGTACAATTCTAATAAACAAAGTGAGCCTCAGGTTTTTCTTTCGTTGTTTATTTCTTGCTTGTTAATTTTTTTTCACTTAAAATACCTTTAGATATATTCCAGCTGTGTCGCAACTTCTGATTACATCCTCATTTTAGGCAGATTTTGAGTATGTGGTGTATTCAACAAGGGAAAATACCTAAATAAAACATACATTAAACGATAAATATGCATCCTAAAATATTTTAGCTGTCTATGTTTGAGGCTCCCCTAAAATGGAATCTAATCACAGAAAAAGAATAAGTTGCTCACAGCTGAGGAAAAAAATGTTCTCAGAAAATCAAAATCATAATTTTTTTAAATTGATATTGAAAGTGAGGGCAAAGAGCTTTCCAAAGACTTACTTAATATCTGTAATAAGAATTATGTTGCACGATGATACACAAACTTGTAAGAAAAATGCTCATGTTCTCCTGTCGGCAAAGTTCAAAATCAAAATATGGTCGTGCTGGTAATGCAAACTTACAATGTTGGCTGGTGCTGTTGTACAATGTCCGGCTATATATTTAGCAAACAAAATGTTATGATTTAAAACATAATGTTTTTTTTCCCCCCCATTATAACATCCCCTGGGATAAAGCTGTGTCCTGTAATGGATATAATGGATGGATTGTTCGTTTCAGCAGAGAGGGGGGGGAGTGTTTACTTGCAGCATTCCCCACAAGATGTCAGTGTTTCATCAGCATGAATCCTGACAGGAATGTAAATGGATTTAGGACATCATTGTGCTGCCAAATATTGTTAAAATCCACAAAATCTTATTTTAGCTGTATAACAAATACATGGGGCACAATTTGATAGGAAATGTGTATAAAATGACACAACATGAATGTTTGTATTTGATGAAATGGTGCAGCCATAAAGAACGGTGTTAAAGTGTACAAATGCAATATCTGTGTCACTTCAGAGATGATTTTAACCTCCCTAAATAGTAAATGCTAAAAGTAATGTTAACGTTTTAGTACATGTGTTTGTGATATTTTCATTAACTGCTTTAAATTTCACTAGCTTCAGTTGTACAGTAAAAGTGAGGTGAGTGTTTCTTTTTTTCCAAAAGTAGATTTTTGCCTTGTTTTCTGGCTTTATTTTTGTGTTATTTATTAATTTTGGCAAGTTCTCACTTACTGTCCTTGCAATATTTAGTTTTTTAAAAATGTTATCAGTTGAAATATATCTGTCCATAACAAAAAACAAACAAAGAAACAAACAAAAGAATTCTTTGTTACAGTAAACTTTTTTGTATTTTGCATTTTGGAAAACTGACAGCGTTGTATTGTGTCTAGATACTGAACCTCCTGCACATCAGAATAAGAGAAACCAAGCAACATGTTCCACAAACATGATTCACTGAAACTAAATGCTGAATCCTCGACAAACACACGATGCTTCCTCCTCCAACACACCTCCACTGTAATCACACTCTCTGTCAAACCAGTTTGTCCTGTGGATTTAAATAGCCATGCGCTGCACTGAAAGTCCAGGGGGATTCTCAAAGCCTCTTTTCAGCTCACATTTTTGCATCTTTATTACATTTAGATAAGTGGAAAAATGCCTGATCAAATTACAGTTATTTATTGAAAAATAAGCGCACAGATCAGTAGTCTGTGGAAATGAAAAAAGAAAAAGAAAAAAAAAAGAAGATATTTCACAGTTGTGACAAAGAGCATAGTCTTTACAGAAACCCTTGTTGACAATCATAACAAAATTTTTTGTATGCAACAAGTGAACTTTTTCAAGGACATAAACTAATGAAACAAGCAAATGCTTGTATTGAAAAATATACATAAAGAGTTCAAATTCAGCACAATAGTGTAGCAACTTCATTACTTATGTTGTATGTTGTTGTCGTATGTCCAGCATAAAACAAAATCCTACATCGTCTTGATGCAGACTGATCCATCTTCATTCAGCGCATTTTAACATTGAGAACAAAAAGGATGTCATCATTGTCAGGTTTCACATTAACATGTCAAAATTAATGTGAACAAACTTCAGTTACACATTTTGTACAAGAAGACAACTGCAGCACACTTCACTTGATTTACTTGTTGATCAGTCTTTGCACATGCAGCCTATTAAAGCTGCATTTTCCTTCATGTTGGTGAAAATAGTCCAGAACTTTTTCCTTCTGTCCTTTAAAAACAACATTTTATCAAGTATAGTTATACCTAAATAAAATTCTAAACTCTTGAACTACTCTATGTCAGTAAACAATCACAAAATAAGCAAACTACTGCTTCTAAATGGCTATTATTAGTTATAGTAAACTGTATTATGTTTGTAAACGTAAGAGCATATTAATGTACGATATGTTGCAAGTGGTCATATTATAAGTATGTCCTTGCTGGGTTTGAAGATGCATCTTCATTTTCACTCTTGACTGATAAAGTCTCTTCCATTTCTGCTCGTTTCAGCTGAGACTTTGTGGACGGTGCCTCACTGTGTTCAGATTTTGTCGACTCCGGTCTCTTCATCTGTGACTTTGTCGATGGTGCCCACGATCTCTCTGACGCTTGTCTCCAGTTCTGCTCAGGCCCGTCCTCCCACGGAGGCCTCGTATACTGCTGAGGCCCTGTGGTCGCGCCAATGGGCTGAGACTTTGCTGACGGCACCCCGCTGCGATGAGACCCCACCTGGGTCGACCCATTGGAGGAGCGGACCACCAGGTAGCGGACAGAGGGGCTCTTGTCTGCATCATGGGCTTTGATGGGGCACGCCGAGCTGATGAACAAACCCCCTCCCAGAATAAGCAGGATGGACGCTCCCCAGCCGATGTACAGGCAGGCTCCGATCTCGCGCCGCTGAGCGTCTATGGAGGCGCTGTAGAACCTCCTCACCACCGCTCCGGCTGCCCACGAAGTAGGAATCAAACAGAGCACCCCTGTGGCTATCAACACTCCCCCAGCTGCTACAGCCACCTTACCCTTAACCCCATTTCCTTCTTCATCCAAGAAGCGGGTGCACTTTCCTCCAACGAAGGCCAGAATGAGGCCTACGCTGCCTGTAGCGATTGCGAGGACGGTGAGAGCCCTGGCAGCCTGCAGGTCGGAGCCCAGAGCAAGGAGGGACTCATAAGGCTTGCACTGGATCTGCCCGGTGCTCTGGACCACACAGGTCATCCAGATGCCCTCCCAGATGGTCTGCGAGGTGACGATGGTGCTGCCCACGAAGGCGGTGACCTTCCACATAGGAAGTAGGCAGCTAATGATGACCATTGCCCAACCCAGGAGGCACAGGGCACTGGCTAACATCTGCATCCCCATGGAGGCCATGGTGTAGAGATGGAGGGAAGAGGAATCCTCACAGACCTTCGAAGGGTTTGTTGATGTTACTCTGGGGAGCTTCTTTTGCTTTCAGTTCTGGTGTCTCCGGTCACTCTTCTCGTCTCTCCTCTTGTCACTTTCTCTGTTCTCAACATGGGTTGCCATTTTCGTACGCCTCCATTTTTCTTTCGCTACAGTTGCAAAGTCTCAGGAACGCAGAGCCCTTTTCTGTCTGTTTCGGTTGTCCGTGCTGCTTTCAATAGATTTTTACTTGGCTCCAGGTGTGTCTCAGTTCAGCCTCACCTCATTTGTTTACAGCCTGTTTTCCACCTGTCTCTGTCCCTCCCCCTTTGTGTCCCTACCTGCTCTCCTCTCCTCTCCTTCCCCCTCTCCCTCTCTTAACTCTGTCTACCTGAGAGTCTTTTTTGCCACCTGTGCAGCTGCCTGTGTGCTTCTGGTTTGGTGCTCAGGCACCACACCTACTCTATAGGGAAAAGAAAGGGGAGGAGGTTGACAGAAAGGTAGAGAGAGAGCGGAGAGAGATAGGGAAAAGAAAGGGGAGGAGGTTGACAGAAAGGTAGAGAGAGAGCGGAGAGAGACATAGCAATGACATCATCTATTCCCTCCCTCATTATCTTCAACTGATGAGAATATTTTGGAAACAACAAGCATTGAATACAGCAGAAAGAATAAAAGGCCTCTGGGCATGAAACATGTTTATAGGATGCACTCTCATGAGAGGCTGTTAGATGTTTTTTTTTTTTAATCACACACCATCTTTCTACAGAAAGACAGATTTAGATTAAAACAGAATCTGATTTGATATGATTAAAATGTACTACGCTCCTAAGAGCAGTGGTCTCTATCTTCTGGCGATGCATGTGAATAATGTGTGCACACGGAACTTACATTTGTGCAACAAGAGGAGAGCAACATGGAACACAATATCCTGGGAGTAAACCAGTTTCTCTCTGGCAGCATCTCTTGTGCAGAAAAACCTGTTTGAAACATGAAAAGCCTCACACGTGCACGCACACACGTGCACATGCAGAGCCGAACTAAACCTTTTAATCAGACGCAAAATAATCTTTAATCTCTCTTGTCCTTGTAAAGTTCAGGAGGATGGTTTTTGGGCCCTTTTCCATTTTTTTTTTCATGAGCAGCTGAAATGAAATTTTTGAGATACAGTTTGTTTGACTTTATTTTTTATTGGAAACAAAACCTTAAAATACAAAGAATCAAGTGTGGTGGTTTTATTTCTGTTAACAATTTCATTCACTGATGCAAAAAGAAAACTACAGACCTGATCAGCCTTAGAAGATAAAAAGAGAGAATACTACACAGACACAAACGCCATTCAGTTGTCATTCAGTCTGTTTATTTAGTCGTGTTTGGCAGGATGCATTGTCACACAACCTGTTTTGTAAAGATTCCTACATGAACACTTGCAAAACCAGATCTACAGTTCTAGTTTCTCAAGGCATTTGTCATCTCTGTAACTGTTTCTGCTTTTAAAAACAAAACAAATAAACAAAAAAACTGCCATGATGAGATGGTTAAAAAAAAAAAAAAAAAAAAACACACATATTATCACATGCTCACAAATATTTCTTACAGATGACCTAGATTTGAAGAGCAAACAGTAATACAGAGGGAACAAAACATCAGCCAAAAAAATCTGAAGGAAGGAAATTTGAAGGAGAATCAATCACATGAAACAGTTTGTTAGAGAAAGTGCAGCCAAAGATCAGACGAGATTTCATATATATACAGTTTTTATGTGCCCACATGGGCCACAGAGAATATCAGATGAGGATCTGACAAACAACATAAACTAATACGTATTAGGAAATAATGGTGTAAAAACATGCAAGAAAAACTTTAACAAAGAGTGTACATTCACAAACAGAATCAAAATAGTTCACATTTTACAACACGTGCCATTCTTTCTATATGAGTGTTTTGAAGACTAAAACACACACTTAAGTTACACACTCATAGTGCAAACATTTTGATCTCTTTCAATCACATTTCAGACTACTTATTACAGCTGGTGGACTCAACTTCATAGGACAGGCAGAAACTTTCATAGAATCTTATCTGTCTTGCTGGTCATCTAAACGTAGGCCCTGCTGCTGTCTATAGAGCGAGCCTTGGAGTACTTAACATCATAATCAGTCTCATCTTTGGGGGGACAGGAGCTACAGAGGAGGCCTCCCCCCAGGAAGAGCAACCCGGCGGAGCCCCAGCCGATGTAGAGCGAGGCGCCCAGCTCCCTCTTCTGAGCGCTTACCAGAACTGGGTTGTAGAAATCGCGAATGATGGTGTTGGCGGTCCAGCAGACGGGTACGAGCACCAAGAGGCCTGCGATGAGGAAGATGACTCCAGAAGCAATGGCCACTTTGGATTTTTGCCTTTCCTCCTCCACAAAGTTGGTGCACTTGCCCCCGACCACACCTAAGAGGATCCCAAAGATCCCGACGATGATGGCGATGACGACGAGCGCCCTGGCAGCCTGCAGGTCTTGAGGCAAAGCCAGCAGAGAATCGTAGACTTTGCACTGCATCTGGCCGGTACTCTGGGTCACACAGTTCATCCACAAACCTTCCCAGATCACCTGAGAAGTGACAATGTTGCTGCCGATGAAGGCTGTGACTTTCCAGGTGGGGAGAGCACAGATGATGATGCTCCCCAGAAAGCCAATGGTGGCCAGCGCCAAACCCAGAATCTGTCTTCCACCAGACACCATGATGAAGCTCTGTTGAACTCTTCGAAGAGTTGAGACCGTTTGTTCCTGGGAGCTGAAGTGATTTATCTGTGAGATGCAACAGAGCAAGTGGTGGTTTTTATTACTCACTCACAAGGGAAGTTGACAGTGGCTTCCTTACTGACTGGTGTTGTTGTTAAAGGTGGAGTCAGAGGAGGAGTTTTCTTGGGTTTCCTCTTGACTGAAACTGATTTGTGAAGAAATCTTACCTAACCACATTACTTTAGTGTAAAATATCAGTGGAAAAGACCGCAGAGTTTCAGAGATGCATACAAAGGCCCCTGAAAGACAAAAGCCCACAAACGCAACACATGGACAAATTGTGTGTCACCAACACACAGTCTTGCATATTCTGTAAATCGAAAACGAAATTTAAAAGCATTTAGTGGTAAAAAAAATAACATACAGCATTTCTGTGGATGATACTACTTATGCAAAGAGGAACTTCCGAAGTGATCAATGCGGAAAATATGCAAGTGCACTTTGGCAACCTTAGTGTTAGTGTCAACTGTTCATTTATTCACATAACTTTGTGAATAAATTTAAAATCATAACACCTCTTTTGAGATGCTTCACTTAATAAATTAACATTCTCACAGTGTCACTGGAATGATGTACAGGTCCTCAAAACAAAGAAATGTGCACACATCCAGGCAAAAATGATTCATGTCAAAGACCAAAGAAAAATGTCATTAAAGGTCAAAAAAATGAGAGATCTGCAAAATGTCAGGCTCCATGGAGGCGGTTAAATTCTCTCTAAAGGCAACATTTTGATCTGCTATCTGTATCTTTCTCGGGTGTGAATTAGTTCCCACACAGAACACATAACTTTAGACTGATCGCTTTGCCAATCGATACCAGTAGCTCAGTTTGATGACACGTAGGTGCTTGAATGCACTTCTGCTGGGAAACTCCCTCTTTTCTCTGCTGGATCAGCTTCACAGTTACTAATTCACACAGCATTTATATGTATCAGTACTCAGTTCACTGTGCTGAAGTCAGATATTTGCAGAACTGACATCTGTCCTTGAACAATAATCTTTAACATGTGGTAGGTGAATGTGATTAAGAAACTGATGTTGTTTAACAAGAAAACTACAATGTTTCTTTGAATAAAGGCTCTGGTTATAGGAAATTGAAAAGCTTGTTCCTCAGCTCTACATTCAGAAGACAAGGCAGTGAAATGAAAACAGTGATTTTAATTTTTGTTTGTTTGTTTGTTTTACATTAAATGGATACACCCTAAACCCTTTAATTTTCTTAGCGCTGTTTTGACCAGATACAGTCTTTTCTCAAGCAAATGCTACATAAAAGATACCAATAAGATGTGCTTGTTGCAAAGGGGGAAAGCAAAAACACACACACGCACATTAATATATATAGACATGCAAGTATAATTTAGATAAATCTTGTATTAAGCCTTGATTTTCACATATACCACAATAAACACTGTAAACCTGCAGTCCACAGTTTGCATTTTTTTGATGCCATGATATTTGTCTCAACAATATCTGCAGAAGAACAAAAAGAATACAAGCAAAGAAAAATGTATTCAGTAGCCTTTAAGTCAAAATCATTATATCACAGTGTTCCACTAATATTAGTTCTATCGTATTGTTCCATTTAAACTTTATAATGTTAATGAAAGCTTGTCATACCCAAGACGCTTTTAATTATAAGCTGCACTGTTTCATAAAATGCACACTTTTATCTTCGACTTGTGCATCGTTTTATACCACCTCACATATCTATTTTGTGTATATGTAATGACTGGTCTTTATTTGTCCAGAAGAAGAAATCAGCGCCATAGTAGCCATTAATTAACATGTAAGTGACCACAACAGCTAAGGGATTCCTGTGTGCAGTCATTCTCAGAACAACAATCCATCAGATTTACTATTGTAAATACGACTCTGTGTCTGTGATCTGTTTGATGAATTACGTCCAAAGGTGCTCTGCTCAAACTGTGGGTGAGTCGGAGACTGATTGTACAGCCCAGCCACACTCGGAGCGTTATTAAGGTAGTTATAGCGATGCACTTGGGCTTTGTGCTCTACCATCCTTGTCTGCGTGTAAGGATCAAACGTCTGCGGGGTATTTGATCTCAGAACATCAGACCTCAGAGTGGCTCTGCGGGATGAGCTGTCGCTGGACTGAGTGCTGAAGTTGCTCGGCATGTAGTAGTAGGAAGGCTGGGACCTCTTCTTGTCCCCACAGACAAAGCAGAAAAGAGCACCACCGAGCAGAAGGAGCACCGAGGAGGCCCAGCCGATGTAGACAGAGGAGCCCACCTCCCTCTTTAATGCTGCAGTCACTAAAGGGTCATTGTAGATTGAGATGGTTGCTACTGCTGACCAGGTGACTGAAACCAGACACAGGATGCCAGACAGGAGACACAGAGCTCCACCCAGCAGGCAGGCCTGGAAAAGCAGGGATATAATTTACATGAGACTCATAAACAGGACCAATAGGGCATAACACAACAGCGCAACTTTGACAGAAAATGCAGAATGGCTGTAATGATATATTCTGATGGCCTAGTTTTAGTTTGTTGAAAAGGGATTGCAGGATTCATGGTGAAAGCGGCTCTTACGGTGTCTTTTTGAAGCTAGTAAAAGGTTTTACATGCACAGGCCGACTACGGTGGTTCCTAAAGCGGAAGTAGGGACCCACGTGAGGGTCACAAGGCATTAAAGGAATCATACAATAATCAAACAACATTGAAAAGCTATTAAAAACAGCGTATTTTAGCTATAATTGTTTCAAAGGCCTTATGATTCTGCTGCTACTTCACACTGTATTTTTACCCAGTACCTCAGTTTACACATGGTCCTGTATACTCATAGCTTACAATAAATGATGGCTGTTAGGCTGTTGTGTTATTCTGTGTTGTCATTACGTGTGTATTCAAACAGATCTGTTAGTGAGTGTGCACAGCTGCATGCAGCATTCATCCACCTCCAGGGACAGTGAGGGTTGTGAGTCTCTGGCATCATTATTTTAGGGGTTGGGGCTGAAAAGTTTGGAAACCCCTGAGCTACTACATCATTTTACCTCAAAACTAGATAAAATATCTGTTTTTTTTCTACTACACCTCCAGAATAACACAATACAAAGACAAGATTACATTCAGTGTTCACATGCCAAGTTTGTTACAGTGTATAACTCAGCAGTGTTCAGGAGACAAAGTGACACTGCATGCAGGCTGAACTTTGTATAGCACCACCCAGAGACACCTGCTGCAGTCCAAATAATGACACAAGTTGAGTTTCTGTGGAAATGTAATGACGTTTAATTTTATGTGGCTTACCGTTGCAGTACAAATACACGTTTCATTCTCATGAAGCAACTGCAAAACCTTATTTAAAGGCCATTTCAAGGTTTGTTGAAGAGGGTGCTCAATAGAAGGAAACAAATATAAAGTTCTCTTTCTGTCAGTTTGATTTGGATTTCAATGTGGGATTTCCACCATGAGAAGATTATTGTATTTATCCTTAACTGTGAACTAATGAACTGAGCTATGTGTTTTCAGTTCCTACTAAGCTGAGTAAATTCTGTTAAATGTAACTAAACATTAAATTGTATATGTTTTCTTTGTGCTCTGTCTGCTGGATTCCAGATCATTTAAAGCTCTGAATTAGTAGGTTTATTGAGGTGTATTAGCAGTTTACTGAGTTAGGTAATTTAGTAAAATGTGCCACAAAAATAAAATCTAAATTAAAATACCAATGGGTGAAGTTGGCTCCTGCATTTTCACTTTATTTTTGAGGCTCAATCTTTCCAGAGATACCATGTGTCAAAATCCAAACACCTTTATATTTTGTATTTTAAGGTAGTTTCATTCCCACATGATTGCTACCTAAATTTGTACTCACTACCACAAACTAACTAACATACTTGCAGTTCATTTTTGCCAGAGGTTAACTCATGCTTTCTTTTCATTATTTTGAGAGCAATTCAATTTTGGGGCTCAAATTGCCTGCTACAGTGCTTGTTATTACTGCAGTTCTTCTTTGTAGGTCCTAAGCAGACACAGGATGAGTGCAGCTCCATCACCTTCTTTCTGGAGGAAGCATTGGACAGAGGTTCAATAGGATCAGGTGGATCTCCACTGCAGTTGACTGCTCCTCCTCCGAGGAGAGTGACGATGAAGCCCAGGATGCCGGCGATGATGGAGATCAGCGTGAGGGCTCGTCCTGCCTGGATGTCAGAGGTCATGGTGATGCCTGTCGTGTGTCTCTTGCACTGCATCTGACCTGTTGCTTGAACGATGCAGTGCAACCACAGACCATCCCACACCTGACAGGGAAACGAGTGGAAACTTTTAAAGCTGGACAAGATATAAGTTAAGATTTGATGTAGGCGAGGTCGTCCTTAAACACTGAATTCCTGTTATTGTGGTGAGAAGCCAGTCAAATGTTATCCTCGGAGTGGACTGAGATTTCCAAATACAATTTAGATTTACAAGTCTTTATTTTTTAATAAATAGTGTAAAACAGTGTGTGACTAAAGTAATTTACATCACATGATATACTTTGCTTATATACAGTTTCATGCTGACTTTGCATGTTTTGCTTATACACTCGTGGTCAAATGATTGACATGATTATCGTAACTTTTCTTTTAACCGATCCCAGATAAAATAAATTAATTTAAAATTATTCTATGTTGGCAGTTGCTTCTCTCCATCTGAAGTCGCTTTGTGGTCTTGAGCAACATTTACAGCTTGATTTGATGGTGATACTTCACAATTGATAGCCAATTCTGACATCAAGATTTTCACTTTTACTGCAAATGTATATTGATTCCAGATATTAGTAATCAAGTCACCTTGATTATAAGTAATCAGTATCGGCCCTGAAAAAAAAACATTTCTTATCCCAAATTTTCACACAATTTCTCAAAATCTGTTGTGTGTTTTCTTCTTAAATAGATTTAAAACTGCTGTTGAACATGATGGAAATAATCAAGTGTAAATGAAGTGATGCGTGTTGACTTACAGATTGTGCAGTCACAACATTTGCTCCCACGAAAGATGTTTCACGCCACATTGGAAGTCCACATGTCAAACATACTCCTAAAACACCCATCAGACACAGCGCCAGGCCCCCGATCAGCCTGCCCTGCCCCCCCATTTCAAACCACACAGACACGAAGCAGTGGATTGAAACCAGAGCTACAAGAAACAAGCTAAAACTATTCACTTTGATTCCACAAAAAAATAAGAATTTGTATTGCTTTTTAGAGGAAAAAAAGACGCAGGAATAAATTTCTCTTGCTTCAGTTGAAGTAGAGTGAGCTGCTCTCTTCATCTGTTCTGTTTTGCTGTAATGTTAAGTAGTCAGATGACACAAAGATCAACAAAGATGTGCAGATGAGGCATCTTGTGAGCTGAGTAAATATGAAAAGAGGATTCAAACACCTCTAAGCTTAAACAAAATCCAGTTTTTCAGGCTTTTATGCACAAGGAAGCTGATGTAACGTGTGGAGTCTTACAAAGTAACATTTGTTTTCTTTCTGTGTCTTTGCAAACGAAACATGCTAAATAGTTGTTACCAAAGTAAGAACAAAAAGTACACGACTTAGGCATAAAGATAAGAAATATACAAAGGGAATTTATTGGTATGTCATAAAAAAAAGAATTACAAAAATGAACAGTTTTGTCCTTTTGACATGGCCAGCAACTGCATAGCTTTGTAAGCATGAACTGAGACATTCGCTACAATTCAACTTTCATTGGAAAAGTTAACTTTTTATTTAGCTTATTGATTTGCTGTGTCCCATTTAATTTCTGCTGGCACTGACATACAATAAAACAACAAGTAAAACTCTGAGAAATTTCCTCACTACGCAGGCAGTTAAAAAAAGAACACTAAGATTATGATTAAACACCAACAGTCTAAAACGTGTATTCTTGCAGCATTCATAATTTGTACTATACATATAAAAACACTTCACATAACCTTCATGTAGCATTCTGTAACATCATATGATGCAGCTCGTAGCTCAAGCAGACTTCATTTTTTATGGTTCACTTTAAAAACACAAACAGTACATGCCCTGGACATGCAATTCATAGTTAGGGTTACAAGCTGCATGTTTTTTCACAGATATGAAACTTATTTTTTTTGCAAAACATCAGCATAGTGCAATTAGTATTGAAATAAATGAAGAAATTAGAGCTTTAATCAAAGCCTGAATCTAAATAAAGTCAATCACAGTAAACAATTATTGTACATTTAGTTTGTTTGGATGCACAGCATTGTGAACTCCACTGTGGTTCCCTCCTCTCTCTTCAGCATCTGTAGGTGGTACACAGCACACTTCCTCCGATGACAAGCAGAGCGCCGGACGCCCAGCCCACATATATGGAAGCTCCGAGTTCTCCCCTCCTTGACTCTGTTGGCAAAGGGTTGTAAAAACCTGTTATGATGGTGTGAGCCGACCAGCTGACTGGAATAATGCACAGGAGCCCTGCTATTATAAACACAACGCCTCCAGCCAGGCCAACGTTGGTTTTGGTCAGCCGGTCGTCACGGAAGAAGTTGGTGCAGCGAGCCCCGACCACCGTGAGCCCGATGGCCACCACGCTGACACCAATGGAGGCGCAGATCAGAGCCCTAGAGGCCTGCAGGTCCTGTGGCAAAGCCAGAACAGAGTCATAGGCTTTACATTGTGATTGTCCCGTGCTCTGGATCACACAGTTCATCCATAAACCCTCCCAGAAGATCTGAGAGGTGATGATGTTTGCCCCAACGAAGGCCGTCACTTTCCACATGGGCAGCCCACAGATGAGGATGGTGCCAAGAAAGCCGATGATTGCCAAACACAAGCCAACGATCTGAGTCTGCATGTTGACAAAAACAAAAAAACAATCCAAAATTCTAACAATTCAAAAGTAAAAGGAATAAAATCCACCTTTAGTCGAGCTTAAGATCATTTTTGCTACAAGCTCTGCCTCGGCTGGAAAAGCTGCTGGTAGTGTTTTGCTGTTTGGTTTTGCACTGCAGGTATGAGGAGTGCAACAGGGAGGGGACTCGCTAGTTTGTGGGTCAGGTTTCCTGCTTGTCCTGATTCCTGCTCGGCCTGAATGCGTAGGAGGTGAAAGCCGCTTTGTGATCCAAGACTAAAGGCTTTGACGGCAGATTTGAAATGGACTGAAGCATTTTTAGCCATATCTAGAAATGCAAGAAGGCACATTTTGTCAGTTTGCACTTTAATGCATTTAAAACTGACAAAAAAAGTTACATGAATGCTTGAACTTTCTATTCTTTTTTTTAAAGTATTTACTTTTTAGAGTTTGAGAGGCAAACACTGGACAGAAAAAATCCACAGACATGCAAGAGTGAAATGTATATCAGCACCTGTTCAATCAAAGCTCACCAGTGTAATTCAACTATTTGGCCAAAAAAAGGCTTTAATAGTTGTCTTTAAAGTTTACCTGTGTGTTGCTAGTGCGTAAAACCAAACCTGCAAAATGAAAGCTCACTCAGTTATATAATTGTGATTTTCAAAGATAACAATTAAGAAAAACGTACTTTACAAAAGAGATCAACTGCATACATGATAAAACAGGCTACACGACTAAAAGTCAGTGAATAAAATCTGAGCTTTAAAAAAAAAAGGAAGTCCAAGTCAAGTTATATACTGTGAGCAAATTAAATCCACCTAAAGGACTATTGGAGACACTTTAGACTCAAGTGTAAATCACAAAATGCTTCAACTCCATTTTGTTGCTTCAGTTCAGTGCTGCCTCATTGAACAGAACCACCGTTATCAGTGAAACCTGTTTTTCCTGCTACACTTTAAAATCTGATAAAGGTCCATCATATGCCCAGTCTTCAACCATGCCAGTGTCAGTTGTCGTTGCAACTCTTGTTTCAAAGTAAGAGCCCATTGTTTAAAAAAAAAAAAAAATCCTGGATAATCAAATTCTGCCTTTGTTAAACTAACATTCTAGTCTGGATTTCTTTACAAGTGGTTTAATAGAAATCAAAAATGTGTTTTAAAAAATTTTAAGTACAGCTTGGTGCTTTATTTTGGAGGTTAATCAAATGTTTGTCAGTTGGCCAACATGTACTTGAACAGTTTCTCTTAAATTTAGCAGATACCATGATCCATCCCATTTGCAACCAACACCTCACTAATGAGTTATCAGTCTTTAGCTAAAAGAACTCTGCTTTGGTTTGTTTAAGCAAAGACATTAAACGGCACAGGTAATGTTCAGGTCACTCAGTAAATCCCACTTGTTTTCAGATCTTAGTTTACTGCACACTTAAGTGTGAATTGGGACTGGCATCCCCCACAGAGCTTCTTCTGCATTCTAGTGCAGTGACATTCAACACAGTAGAGTTAACACCTACACAGGCACTCTTGTATTTTTTCCCCCCCCAGACTACGCAAAGATTAACTAAGACCAACTAAGACTGCAAGTGACTTACAGAAACACAAATGAACTGCAAAATAATCACCGACTCTAGATGTTGCATTTTACCTTTTGGGATCAGTTTTGACTGATCAAGAAAACCCAGAGTGAAGATTCACAAGGTGGAAGTTAAAGAGCTCAGGCGTTAAAGACAGTTTTTAAATCAGTTACTGAAAAAAATAGAAGGTCCACAGAGAATATGTAGCAAAGTTTAATTTATTTAAAAAATAATCAGTAAAACATTTTCATACATAGTTAAAACCATTAAAAGAATGACTTGAGTTCAGTCCTTGTGTGAGACACAAGTGTGCAAGATTTTAGGATACTTGCAGTCATTTCAAACGTAGGCTCCTGCACTGGCTGTTGAGCGAGAAGCAGAATATTTGACAGAGTATCTGCTGTCCTTACGCTCCTGACATTGACAGCAGAGAAGAGCCCCTCCGATGAGCAGGAGTCCTGCAGATCCCCAGCCGATGAACAGCGAGGCTCCCAGCTCCCTCCTCTGTGCGTCAGACACGATGGGGTTGTAGAAGTTCCTGATGATCTCGTGTGCAGACCAGGACACGGGGATGAGGCACAGGATCCCGCCAACAATGAAGAACACACCTGCAGCAATGGCTACTTTACTCTTGGCCAACTCGTCTTCGATGCAGTTGGTGCACTTCCCGCCTGCGACAGCAAGCAGGATTCCCATAAAGACGACCAAGATGGAGATGACCACCAGGGCCCGGGCAGCCTGCAGGTCTCGGGGCAGAGCCAGCATGGAGTCGTACACTTTGCACTGCATCTGTCCAGTGCTCTGCTTCACACAGTTCATCCACAGACCTTCCCAGAAGATCTGCGCTGTCACAATGTTGTTCCCAACAAAGGCAGACACCTTCCACATCGGCAGGGCACAGATGATGATGTCTCCCAAAAAGCCGACGGCCGCCAAAAAGATGCCAAAGATCTGGAGACCTGCAGATGCCATCTTTATCTCACAAAACACAGAAATAGCAAAAAAGAGTTAGCTGCACTTGCAATGAAACACAGAGTAGAGCCTCACCTGCAGCTTTTAAATCCACATGGTCACTGTGGTGTCTCCTGATTGGTTGTTTGAAATTGTTCAAAGTAAAAACACCTGCGAACATTAAGTTAGGAAGCTGAGTGTGGAAGATTATGTGAAGCACATCCATAGATGTTCAGCTTCAGATTAATACACAAACCTTTTTAGCTCCATCAATTCAAATACATGTTTTGTTTATTAATCTGGAATTTTCTTTGTGTTATTTTGAATAAATGCAATTGCGATGATTTTAATCCTGTTAAAACAGTTAATTTGCAAATCAGGCTTCGAAAGAAATGTGGCAGGAAAGTGTGCCTATTCATATTTATTATTACTACCTTGGTGCAAAATGTAACTGCCATGAACATGAGACTTTATTGATGGCAGCCTGCTCGGCACTTCATTTCATGCTCTTTTAGCAGCGCAGTAATGGAGCTGAGTGATTCCACCTGTCCTGATTATCCTGTGAGCCTCAGCTGACCTGTTGCCTTGAGTTTACTGTTTGTGCACATGTGGAAAACACCCACATTAAAATGAACAAAATAAAACAGCAAAACAGACATAGGAGTAAGATGTGAAGGACTGGAATACAGATATTCCACAGAGAGAAAATGTTACAAGATATATAAGATTGTATAGATATATGGTAATATTTTACCAAATAACAACAGAACTTTATTTTTTATGCATTTATACTTTGCTTTTTTATTCAATATAATTCAATGAGACAGAATAAAGTGTAAAATTCTTGAATTAGGATTTCTACTGCAGTGCTTCTCAACTTTTTTCTTTTTTTCCCCCGTGCATCCCTATCAAATGAGCTTAAACCTCTTGCTTAGTGCAGCCTCACTGAGCTGCTGGCTTTGCTGTAGACTCTTAGACTGCAGTCAGACTTCAAGCAAATGTGGGCCAAATCGGGTTTATTTTCTCGTGTGTGGGTCAGATATGCTTTTCATAGAACAGCACAAATCATATAAGATCAGATCTTTTCCATTCTGATACTTCCACATGTGATGCTAAATCATATACAAACCTGACGTTTTGCAATAAAAGCAAGTCTGAACAGTCATATCAGAATTCATGAGGTGAACTCTGTGTCTTGCTGTGAGAGTCTCATAGAGCTGATAGATGTACTTAAGGTAACTCTTGACATCCTGAAATTCTGGATTTTATCTGTTTCATTTAAGCCATTCGCGTCACGATCCCGTCACTCACTGCATCCGCACACTCCGTACAAAAGAAGCCGACGTTGCTCCACATTTGCCTCTTTTTCATCATCCTCATTATCATCAGCTCATGTCACATTTCAAAATGGAACCATACGTGCTGACTTTAGTGGCCTCCTTGTTTGCGTTTGTATGGTACAGCGTGCTATAAGTGAATCTGGGTCAGTTCAATACTGTCACCAGCTCACATTGGAATCTGATAATGAGCAAAAATTCCACTCTCAGGCTCGCAAAATGAACATGGCCGGAGTTCTGTTTCATGAGTTTTAGCTGTCTAATTTTCTGTTGTTTATAATGACATTATCATGCTAAAACTGGGCAGAATTCCCAGTCCTTTAGACTAGCTTACTGATTATTTTTCTCACCTCCAGTGTGGGGATATATTTTCTAAAGCGCATCAACATTTCTACTTTTATAAAGGCTGAGCTTCTCCACAATCGTTCCACACATCCAGTGGCAATGGAAAAATCTGTATAATCCACTATTGTTACATTTGGTTTGCAAAGGACTTTGAAGTTAAAGTTCTACAGCATTTTTCATGCCATAAAGTTAGATTTTCATGTTTGACTTCTGGCCGTGTTTGACTGAACCACAGTGTTGAAGCTTCTTTTCTTTCTCTGAGCCCTGCTGGGGCACCAGAGGGCCTCTTTGTGGGAGAGAAACACCTCTGAACTCAAAGACAGCATGATGAATGTTTATATCTGAGCAATGGAGCCAGAGCCCACCCAGAGAAGGGGGGTACTTGGGGGCATTTGTAGGTCATATAAAACTTCCCGACAGTGGGAGAACCTTTAGTTGGCAACCGGCAAAGAGCTGAGACACTACAAGGGAAAAGAAGGCAAACCACAATGGCATCTTTAGGACTGCAGATTCTGGGTGTCGGGCTCGCAGTGCTTGGATGGATTGGAAACATACTGATCTGCATGCTGCCCCTGTGGAAAGTGTCTGCTTTCATTGGGAACAACATTGTGGTGGCTCAGACTATCTGGGAAGGACTGTGGATGACCTGTGTGGTGCAGAGCACTGGCCAGATGCAGTGCAAGGTCTACGACTCCCTGCTGGCTCTGCCTCCGGACCTCCAGGCAGCCCGAGCCATGGTGGTTATCGCCATCCTGTTCTCTCTGTTCGGCCTGCTGCTCTCTGTGGTCGGAGGCAAATGCACAACCTGTATTGGAGATAAAGCAGCAAAAGCGAGAGTGGCCATCTCTGCAGGCGTTTTCTTCATCCTGAGCGGGGCTCTGTGCCTCGTAACCGTGTCTCTGCCTGCTAATACGATCATAAAGGACTTCTACAACCCCATGGTTCCTGATGCTCAGAGGAGGGAGCTGGGAGCCTGTTTGTACATGGGCTGGGGAGCAGCAGGACTCCTGCTGATTGGCGGCGCTCTGCTCTGTTGTCAGTGTCCATCAGGAAGAGACCGCTACAACGGTGCAAAGTACTCGCCGCCTAAATCCACAACACCGGGGAAGGAATTTGTCTGAGCTGCAGCATCACATGAGAAGCAGGACTTGACTTTACATACAAACCTGTTGCTTATCACGTTACGATTTGCATTGTGACTAACGTCTTTTGACTAACACACTGTGCCATCTGTTTCAAAACAATGGAACATTAAGGTATGAACCATGTTAGATTAATGCAGCATGGATTTAGGTTTGCAGTTATTTTTTTGTGTGTGTGATGATTTCAGTATGAATTCCAACTCTCCTGATGTTTACGTGATTGTTGTTGGGAACATAAACACTTCAGAAAGAGCCATGTATTTGATATGCAGGATGTATTTTTATTTTATTTTTCTTCTGTCAAACAATAAACTGCATTGTGGTCAACAATTTTATGTTTTTATTTTCAGTGTACCTTCCCTCAAAAATTACTCTTATCATTATATGTTACATTTTACAGGGAATTATTCAAATATTACTTGTTTTAATGGCTATAGCTACTTTAAAGATTTTACACACAAAGCATGTGATTTGCAAAAACGTCCGTTGTTTGTAATTTGACTGCCTTAACAGTAGTCTAAGGATAGAGGGAGTTCTAGGCTTGACCATATAAAACAATCTAATTAAGGTCCCCCTCAGCTAAATAAACACGGAAATGCAACTTACACATTCATACATCAGTATGAATAATTCTTAGCGTCTTTTGCATTTGATGCTTTAAGCACATTTTGTTGATAATAGCATTTTAGTGCAGGCGTTTTACTTGTAATTAACTACTTTCACATTTTGGTTCTGTTACTTCTACTAAAGTAAAAAAAAATCTGTCCAGTCTGAGAAGCCACAATGGATCCAGGAACAGTGGTTAAAAATCACTGGGGCGTATTGTGTTTCTTGTCAGACGAGTTTCAACCGAGAATCGGTAAACAAAAAGAAAACCATTAAAGAGGTTTAGGATATATCGTCCTGACAAGACTTGGCAGATGTGCTCTTACTGGGCAAAGTGTAAATATCCATTCTTTGCAGATATAAAACTGTCCCTTAGCAACATGAATTCAAGCATGCACAACACACTGTTGTCTCTGTCAGTGACATCCATTTTACCCCAGACAGAAACTGTAAATTACAGTCTTAATACAAGGGCAGTCGATTACAGCATGGCAAACATCTCAACCAGATACAGTACATTCCCAGGAGTCGACTCCTCTGAATTCCTGCACATCTTATCGTTAGAGGTTAGTGAGAAGTGCAGTTCCAGTTTTATTAGACTGCAGGTACAGAGTGAACGAAAGAAAGGAAGACGTAAGCAGCAGTATGAACAAAGAAGCTTTATTTCTGACATTTGAGTCCAACAGTCATTATTACATTTTTGTACAGGTAAGTATAAAAAAAAACTTAATTGATTGAAATGTTTGATTGTCACAGTTTCTCTTAGCAGCAGCTTATGCAAGAGTTAGAAAAGGGAATTTTAATTAGGAACTTGTCAGTATTCACATTTATCACATTTATCATTATCAAGTCCATTCAAGGAGTACAACCACTGGCTGTTCAAAGTTTATATCCCAGAAAATCCTTTAAATGCATTATGTTATTCAGTGCACTAAAATATTCTAAAAAAAAAAAAAAAAAATCATTCAAATTTAGAAAATGAGTGGACGAATTCCTCTCTATCAGCCAAGCCTACATGGATATAGAATGTAGTTTTCTTTCTTCTTACGTTTTTCAGTCTCAGCAACAACATCTTTGAGCAAAATGGATTCATAACAAAAACACTCACACATAGTCCACATTTGAAGATACGGTTCTTGCAGGGACAAACTTGGCAGGCATGTAGGGTCTGCCGTCCTTTGGGGGGCAGTTGTTGCAGAGCAGGCCTCCTCCCAGCAGCAGCAGCCCAGTGGAGCCCCAGCCGATGTACAGAGCAGCTCCAAGCTCTCTTCTTTGAGCTGCAGTCAGAAGGGGGTTATAGAAGTCCCTGATGACTGCGTGAGCTGACCACGACACTGGAATCATGATGAGCAGGGCTGCTATGATGAAAATCACTCCAGACACGATACAGGCTTTGGCTTTGGCCACTTCGTCCTCCATGCAGTTGGTGCACTTTCCTCCCACCACGGCCATGAGGACGCCGAACACTCCGACAATCACAGAGATGACCACCATGGCCCTGGCGGCCTGCAGGTCCTGAGGCAGAGCCAGCATGGAGTCGTACACTTTGCACTGCATCTGCCCCGTGCTCTGCACCACGCAGTTCATCCACAAGCCTTCCCAGATAACCTGGGCGGTGACGATGTTCGCCCCGACAAAGGCGGTGACTCTCCACATGGGCATAGCGCAGGTGATGATGGTGCCCAGCCAGCCGACGAAGGCTAGCAGCACGCCCATTATCTGGAGGCCCTGAGAAGCCATGGTTATACTGCTGCAACCAGGACTCTGCACAGGAAACTAGAAGAAAGAAAAGGTTGCACTTGTAGAAATATTCCCATTTCGGTGATTATTTAATTCTGAATGCATAAAAACACTCCAGGTTTTACTGGTTTTGGGGTTTTAGTGTATTCTGTTGTCTCACCTGCTTGAAGATGTGTTTGCTGTGCTGCTGTGATGCTCTGAGGTGCCACTGTGAGAAGATAACTGCCTCCTGTCATGGTCTGAACTTTCAGGGTGGAGTTTCTTGCCTCACAGACAAAGAAGGAAAGCTGAGAACTGATATCCTCAACCCTTGTTCTCTCTCTGTTCATTGTTCCCACACATTCAAGCTTTGTTACCTCAAGCAAGGCCTCACGAGTGGAAACAATGGCTGCAGATCCCAGCTGTGCTCGCACACACACACACACACACACACACACACACACACACACACACAGACACAGGTCAGGTTGAGCCTTGAGCAAACACAAACTCTATACTACTAGTTTCAGTGTGTTTCCCTAAAAATAGATCAAAAAGGGGATTTTATTCTAAAAAGAAAAGAAAGTTAACAAAGTTCCAAAAGTCAGTTTTTGTTCAAACAGCCTAGAACTAATCCCCTAATTGTTCTTTCATTTACACTACAAATATACCTGATAACACTGCCTGTCTGCTGTCGTGATCATCAGTCTTGTGTTAACTCTGAGTTTGTGTGTTTATTCAGTAAAAATTAACATAGAGGGACTCTTAGAAACAGGAAATGTTTACTTTACAAAAGTGAACCAAAACTGCTGCATCAGTTTTGCAGTAAAAACCTCATACAAAGAGGAAATAAATGTTTCTTGGCTTTTCAATATTTACTCTCTTAACAAATGGAACACCTGCAACCTGAAAGCTGAGTGAGTAGGACACATACCACCTGGGTTCAAACGCTGTGAAGCAGTGACTCTGTGGTCTGACGACCAGAGGCCGCACCTAAACTGCATTTCATTCCCCTGCTCCCATTGCCCAACATCCTATCTCTTTCCACTGCAGTATATAAATAATAAAATAATCTTTATAAAGAAAAAAACAAAACAATAAAAATAGGTTCTGTGAGTCAGTACGGAGTTCAAATGCTGTTGCCTGTAGGCTCACAGTTTGAACAAAAACAAGTTTCCAGCCATCGGGCCTCTTCCTTTGTGCCACACCTAAACCTGATCAACAGGAAAGTCAGACAATAGCTGCTTCTAAAATGTTGTAAAGGAACCGTGTTCTGTTCATAATGCACCTGTAAATGCATCACTAAATGTAATAATAGCAGGCTAATAATATTAAAACAGTCAAGACAGCAATGCTTGATGTAAGAACTCAAATAAAATACTGATTCGCTTCATTTTAAGACCAATAAATGAACCGTGCTGAATGCAGATGTGTAAAAATAAAAAGCAAGTGATCTCAGATTTGTAAACAATAAAAATATTTATTTACAATGCAAATGCCACATAATGAATGTCACGCACAGTTCATAAAAACAAACCACATACACATGGCCAAAAGTCAGCATTTTGAAAATAAAACTGGGGTTATAGAATAATTGTACTACTAAGAAAAGACTTACGAATATTCATACAATATTAAAACAGCCATACATGTACAAGTAGTGAACATATACAGATGAATTTCTCCGTTGGGTGTGTCTCCTTTCTTGCCTGTAACTGCCATCAAACACTCTCATGAGAAGTAACTTTTGGTCGAGTAACATCCTGACATACGAACACTCCCAACCCAGCAGCACCAGTGTATCTGTCCCAGTAAACGTTGCTTTGTGGAAGCTATTTACTGATTTCCGGAGCTGTTTCAGACGTAGTCCTTCCCAGATGCTGGTGCCGAGGCATCAGATCTGGCAGCTTTGTACCTGGCAGTGTAGGAATCATCTTTCTTGGGGCAGTTGCAGCAGAGCATCCCCCCTCCGATCAGCATCAGAGCAGCCGCCCCCCACCCGATGTAAAGCGCAGCACCCAGCTCTCTCTTCTGGGCATTGACCAATAGCGGGTTGTAGAAGTCCCGGATGATGGTGTGTGCCGTCCAGCAGACAGGGATGAGGCAGAGGGCCCCGGCGACGATGAACACAACCCCAGCAGCAATGCCCACCTTGACCTTTGACGACGGATCCTCCACACAGTTGGTGCACTTTCCCCCAGCGACGGAGAGCAGGATGGCCATGATGCCCACCACGATGGAGATGACGATCAGGGCCCGGGCGGCCTGGAGGTCAGAGCTGAGGGCCAGCATGGAGTCATAGACCTTACACTGCATTTGGCCTGTGCTCTGCACCACGCAGCTCATCCAGATGCCTTCCCAGGATGTCTGCGAGGTGACGATGTTGCTGCCGATGAAAGCAGTGACCTTCCACATGGGAAGGGCGCACACGATGATGGCACCGATCCACCCAATGATCCCCAGGGCAGTGCCCAGCATTTGGAAGCCAGCAGACACCATTGTGGATTTGTTGTTTGAGTTCCGTCAAATGAAACTTCTTTTTCGTTTAAGCACTCACTCAAAAGCTCTCTGTGTAAATTCCTTTGTTGGAGCGGTGTAGGCCTGTAGGTTGTTTGGCTATTTTTAAGATGGAGGCAAGTTCCCTGGTAGTCAGGTGAGTTTGTTGAATGGGTGAGGATTGAGGGGAGAGTGGCTACATATGCCTGAAGGAGGAGGGGCCATGTGGAAAACCAGCTCACCGTCATCAGCCCTTCTCTTTAAGTCCAGCCCCTAACTCCATGGGCTCAAAACCTGTTCACCCAGTCCCAAGCACCCTGCCTTATTACGTTTTAAAAGGAAAACATGTCCGCCCTCTTAGCATGTAGCACCACATGACACAATAAACCACAAAATTTCAACATAATATAATAATCTTATTTAAAAAGTTGATGACAACAGGACATTCTATTGTTCATCATTCTTTCCCTTAAATTTCAACAGCAGGTGGGTGGAATGAAGTACTGAGTGACAGATGACTCACTCTGTTTGAATGACAGCACCACCGACGGAAACGTCTGACACCAAATATGGTCTTGTGCTCAATGTTTTTGTTGTATTATTAATTCACAAAATATGGATGACATGCTGCTGAAGTCAAAATCGATACCATGAATTGCTCAACTGTACACAGCTAATTAGGCAAAAGATTCTTTTATTAGATAGATAGATAGATAGATAGATAGATAGATAGATAGATAGATAGATAGATAGATAGATAGATAGATAGATAGATAGATAGATAGATGGTGGTGATTTTAATTAAATGTTTAATTAAAGTCCCAACATTGATTAGATCCCTTAGACATAACATATTCAGACTATGTTTTTCATGAAAACAATCCCCTCCTGCCCTAAAACGGTGTTGATATATTTATACCCAACTACTTCTTCTTGAATGTGCAGAACTATGACATCCCTAACTCTTTTTCATGCACCCTTCCCCACTTTCTGCAGCTCAAGCACACCAACAACACTGTATCACAACACTGTAGAACTATTTTACGCGACACAATCGCAAGTTGTAATATTGGAGTAATTAAGCTTTTTGAACCACAAAAACGATTCTGAAGAATGATACAGAAAGCTGCACCCTGGAACCTGACCGGATTGATTCCTTTGACTTCTTACATATAAAACTCCAGACATTTGGATTTGTGTTTTTAAGATGATCATCAGTACGCTGCAGTTTCAAGGAGCCACAATGTTGATTTCACCTCCAATGTGTTTTCTAGCATATAGAAAACACCATATGGACATGCTAACAAAGCAAAAAAAAATAACTTGATTTTCAGTGGAGGGAATCTTTAATAAAGTAACACATTATGTCTCGGGCTTCAAGTGACTTTTAATGTTTTCAGTATTTAACCAAAACCACAATATTTCTCTTCACCAAGTCTCGAGTCTCATACATGGACAGAAAAATTAGATTCATCAGCTTTAGCTGATACAAGCAGTTATGGTTTTGCGAGATCAAATATTAAAGGAAAACTAACTAAAACTACATTGTCAGTGGTGAGTTTATGCATATTTTCTGTACGACACAGTAAACAGTGAACAAGTATTGGAGTTTGACTTACAAGGGCAACTCTATAGCCAAGTTTATGGGGTTCACTTCACATGATTGTGAATGCCTTTACCCATGTATATGATCAAAAAATAAAATCACTGACAGTAAAGCTAAAAATAACTGTCATGCAATCAAGATAGGGAAAAAAGTATGGTATACACTTAAAGATACCACTGTAAAACTAATCATTATGCACACTGGTACATTTGAGAAGGACTGTATTATGTATATGTTATGAACTGTAAAATGTACAATATTTCCCTCTGAAACAAAGTAGAGATTTTAAAAAGTCAAAATACAAAATATTTGAAAACTGTGTGCAGAACTTGAGTAAATGTACTTCCACCACAGCCAAAAAAAGGAGCCTTTCGGTATCAGTCACAGTAATTCAGTGTGTTGGTAATTCTAACTTAAGTGTTTACGTTAATTGTGCAGTTAGGTGCAGCTTAAATGTGACACAAAGAAGCAATTTCTGCTGCCTTGATGGAAAATGTAATGATTACTCTGAAAGAAAGAAAAGAAATCATTAAGGCAAAATAATCATTTCTAATCTAATAATTCTAAACATGTGGGGGGCAAATTAAGCTGTGAATAAAATGAACCTCAGTGCAGCGTGAACAAGCGTGCTCACACTTTGTCACACAGTTGCAATTAAAACAAGTTAATGAGACACACAATATGCAAGATGTGAATTTCTATGGTGACTCCTCCACAAGCAATCGTAATACACCAGTGTGGTTTCACGAAGGCACTTCTCTGTGAGGTTCGATAATTCAACAGAAATGGTCCAAGTGCGCTGGTGAAGTGTGACTTTTTGAGGAACTGAATTACATTTCTCAAAGGAACAAATATGATTTATTGGGAGCAGAATCATCAATGACAAAAATAAAGCAATTATGTGAACTAAAGGCTGAGGTTGGAATTGAGAGAAGCTCTGTTCTGTTCAGGCTGTGCGTGTTGTGTGAATCCGACTGAAGGCCGATTGTACGCGAGGACATACAGGAGTGTTTTGTTCACAGAAGATCACAAGAACATAGTTTGATCTTCATGTGAAGTTGGTAGGGGGGGGCAGCAAAGAGCAGTGAGTGACGTATTTAACGGGTCTCAGTGTTGTAACGCTGACTTGAAAGAGAAACTCTGAAGTTTGACTCTTCTGTCTGCTATTCTCTGCTCTGCCCAAAGGGAGGCAGCAGCTTCTCAAAACCTTTCTGTCATTTTACTGAATGTGTGTGTCTGTGTGAGACTCAGAGGAAACAGAAGCCACATAAAACCAGTTACGTTTTAAATCTCATGTACATATACAGTCGTCCTCAAATGCATTCATATCCTTACATTAAAGAAAAGACAACATTCCCAATAGCCACTCAAATAACTACAAACTGAAAAATATTATAATAAACAAAAAATTGTTAAATTATAGTTTAGTGAAATAAGATGTTGCTTTTGAATTGTGGTTGAAAAAGAATAATTTAAAAGAAACAAAACTGTCCTGGACAAATTATAACACTTTGCTGATGACAGTGGGCCAAAATACCTGTCAACAGGTGCAGAAGTCTGATTGAGAGTTACAGAAAACACTTGATTGCAGTGATCGCCTCAAAGGGTTGTTCAACAAAATATTATTTCATGGGTCCCATCATGTTTGTTTGCTTGTGTGTTTTTTGTTTGTTAGTTTTTTTAATATTTCAGTTGAACCACAATTCAAAAGCAATGTCATGATGTCCAACATTTTTTTTATTTATTATTACTTTTGTCAATTTCAGCTTATTTCAATGACAGCTGTTTTTTTCCTTCTGTAATGGGAGGGTATGAATCCATTTGAGGATGACTGTGTATATATATATATATATATATTTAAATCTTGTCAGTTTAATGCAGTTTGGTTTGTACTTCTTTATGATGCAGAAAACAACAGACAACTTTGTATGTACAAGGAGAAAGAGGGATGGTTGGATGATTGTGAAAGTGTGACATTGTTCAAAGAGCTTTTAACTGTAGGTCTTATGCGTCCATAAATCTCTAAGCAGCCATTAAATCTGAGGCTCCCAACCTCTTTCAAAGCACTTCAGACTCAGTAACGTGCAGAGCAGAGCTGCCACAGACCAATGATCTCATAAAGGCTGCCAGTGGAAATCCCCGACTCTCCCTTTGAGATGACCAGCGTGAAATGAAAGGAATTTGATTGTCAATAGATACTTGAAAATGTGTGTGAAAAAAACGTTCCTCATTATAAAAGTTTCGTTTTTGTATGCATTTTATAAAAAGTGGTGAAACATGTTTATGAGGTCCAGTCAGGCCAACAGTATCTATTACATTTTACTGCCACCAGCTCATCTTGATTTACAGAGAGTTTAAGTATTTGCTATCTTTAAGAGGACTGAAGAGGTGTTTCAGTTTCTACTGCAGTTATGAACAAGTTTCATGCTTATCAGTTGTAACCGTTGTGTAATCTTCTTTCTCAGATTTTTAAAATGTCAAATATTTAGTTCTGGACACTTCAAATGGATCTAATTTTTAAGAAGTTAACAACTGTGGTTTGAAAGTGATGAATTACATAGCATCTTTGACATTTTTTTAATCAGTAATTCCACTGCAATAGAAGCATTTTTAAGTATTGTATTGACTCATTTCTAAATTTGTACTTTTAGCTTAATACCACATAAAGTATTTACAACAAAATGTACAAAATGGGTCAAAGGTAAAAGTGTCATGCAGAGAGCCACTTGTCAGTGTTACAGTATCAAATAATTGGGTTATCAGGTCAGTTAATCAATATGGAGGCTAATTTATAATGCTGTATAAATCTAGAAACAGATAAACCGCATTGTGGGTGTGTGCCTTTCCCGAAACCCATCAGGAAGCAATTTATATTTCTGTTTGTCCAGACTCACATACAGTATGTGTCATGTATGCAAATTCACTGACAAGTAAAAACAGAGTCAAATCCCTGTCGCGTGTTCACGTTTGGCCAATAAAGATGAATCTTATAGGAAGTTGTGCCATGACAGGGAACAGTGTTACAAATATGGATGTTGCTGCAACAAAGTCACAAATTTTAAAAGATGACTCTTTCACAAACATCTTAAACCCGGCAGCACAGAAGATCTTTACAATCTGAGAAATTGGCTTCCAAGACTAGTGTCAACAGTTCAGTTAACGACCAAATCTGAAATATTGTCACAATTTGCTTTTTTTTTCCTGAGTTATGGTGCTGAATAATGGCCAGAAAAGTGTTTTTGCAGAACATTATGATGTCACAGTGAAGCTGACCTTCAATTTTTTGCATATAAAATGTCAGCTTTTTATCCTTTTATATGTTTGTGTGAAATGTTCTCCGAATTAACACGTCAATTCTTGAATAATGAAAAAAAAACTATTTTTTGGGATAACAGTGATCTTTGACCACAAAATTCAGTTTATCCTGGAGTCCAAGTGAACGTTGCTGGCATATTTGAAAAAAAATTATTAAAAAAATCCTCAAAGGGGTTCCAGAGATGTTGTGTTCACGAGAACGGGAAGGACACCCAGAAACACAATGTCTCTGGCTTCTGCTGCCGAAGTATGAGGTCATAAGAGTGTGTTTTGTAATGTTTTTTTTAAATCATTAAAAAACAATGAATTTATAAGGTGCTTCAAAAGTTTTCAACATAGTCTTTAAAAACAATACATTTTCACATTTAAGCAGACAGAAATCAACTGGACTTCTCTTTTTAGGAGCTTGAAGACCCGTCACCTCTTCAGTCCTGAAGAACTGATGAAGCCTCTTGGACGAGAAGGGAAACATCTTCAAGAACCTTAAATAGGCGTCCAGTTGATTTGTACTGAAGCTCCGGGGATTAGTATGACCTAGATTACTAAGAATCTACACAGAAAAGACTGGTTGATATTTTCACCTTTAGTCATTTTACCTGCATCATATAACTTGAAGCTTGAACTGTTTACATTTTTCAGACCTACCATCAAGTGACCTGAATATAATGTCCCCTTATTTCAGGACTGTTGCAGCTCCTTCAGTGCTTCCACCCTGGAAGGGCCTTTTTTATAACCGTCTTCAATGCTGTATTTAGGTTACTATGATCAGTGTGTTGGCAGGAGTTGCAGACACGCATATATCCTATCTGGATTTCTCTTGGCAGTTCACCAAATAGATAAGGCTGTTATTCATCCAGTGCGCCCTCTGAAATACCACACACCCACTTGGATATGATGGTAGTTGAAGAAGAGCTCACACGCTCACAAATCTACTGACACACAGGCATAAACAACAGGGAAATGGATAATCCCTCTGCTAACTGAAACTCATTTATCAATTCCAGGGAGAGATAAAACCATGCAGTGAAACTTCTTTGAACAAATTGACTTTAATGGAGAATACAAGTGGATTCTTAGCAGTTACAAGCAAACTCTGCCGTTTGAGTAACATGGAAATCATTGCTATGTCCAGCAGGTTACCCAGACTCTCTGGGTTTAGTTTACAACAAATCAATACAAAACCTGTTTCAAGACTGTTTCCAATTGGTCAGGTTCAAATGGTTGTTGTGCCCAACGGCAGTAAACTGGGTCACATGACTGACTGCTTAGTCAGCATTAGTGCGCATTTTCGTTTTGTAACAGTATTGTAGTCTAGTGAGTAATTTTATTCCTAAAGTTTTATTTAAATTTCTGTTTTTACATTAAAACAAATACAAATCGTACATGTGGATGAACCATTTAACCAACGAGTGTTGAGACCGAGCCTACTTCTTGCGCTAACAACAATAAACAGCCCCTTTTAGCTTAACACCAAGAAGCCGACCTGCAAATTCAGCAGCTATCTGGTGATCAGAGGAGTATTTAGCAGCTCCTATCAAACATTTCTTGTTCAAACATGCAAACAAAAAAGTGGATAGCATTGGTAGATTTGAAATCATGGTAGATTGTTTGTTTCCTTCCTAAATACAAGATTATCTCAATGAATTATCTTTTATTGGGGTTTATCTTATCGCGGTTGCTGGGTTAGCCTGTCTTTGACCGAAGGCTTACATTAAAGTGTGATAAAAATGTGTACACGTACACCAGTTAAGTGTGTTAGATTGTGATAGTGGCAACAGGCGCTGCAGGGATCACTTGGATGAATTGTCAAGACCTCTGTGTGGAAATACAGAAACACTGACTCTAACTACCAGAGTCCATAAGGTCTAGTTTAAGTAAGAATCCTGAACTTCACCATTATTTTATTTTTACCTTTACAAGAGCAAAATGTTTGCAGCAAACTTACAGGTGATTTAAAGCAACGATGCCAGTTTGTTAGAACTTTAAGCAACGCGAAGGCAGTGATGATTTCCTCCTTATTACTGCCACTCCTGGAAAACATGTTCATTGGTGGTTTGCCAGCACAGATCGCAACAGTGATAAACTTGTAGTGACCTTCTCATACCAAGTTTGTCATCAGTGGGATTTCTGGAACTAATAGTAAGTCATCCTGATTTCCTGGTGGAAAGTACCTTTTAGCTTTAGTGCCTTGCCCCAATTTTGCAGGGAAGTCATATTTTATTACTATTTGTGGTAAACTTATCGCAAACATCGGTTTGCCAGAATGTTGTTTGTTTACAGCAAGTTTTCAACAAAGTAATTGTTTTGTTTTTTTTAAAGATACAAATATGTCAAAATTAAATTTCTTGGTACTTTTCTCACTGTGTCCATGGGTTTTCTCCAGGTTAAAACCAGGTTAAACCATGATCCTGAATTGTGAATGTGAGTATGAATGACTGTCTGTGTCTGTGGTAGTCTGTCCTGAGTCTTCCCTGCCTCTCATCCAGTGTCAGCTGGGAAAGAGTCCAGCCCCCCGATGACCCTCTGCAGAATGAGATGGTAAAACTAACAGATCAATGGATCACTTTTGAATCCTAAGATGCTTAGCCTCATAGAAATATTTGCCGGAAACACAAAAAAATACAATTTTAAGGAATACTTGCAGTAAAAATTCTAACAAATCTCCAGCAAACAAATAGAATCAAAGATGTGTTTTTTGCTATAAGTTTGCCTCAAAGTTAGGCAGACGTCAACTGCAAGTTTGCTCCATATTTGTATATGAAATATGACTTTGTTGCAAACTTGTGGCAAAACTGCCAAAGATCAAACACATTAAACACATTTGCCAAAAACTTTTTGTATTGTTAGTTATCAATATGGATTGACAGTTGAAACATTTTAAAGTAAGGGAAATCATTCAGCTTCACTAACTGTGTGAAGTTCTTATTTTATATTCATAAAACTGTATTAAATTGCACTGAGTAATGATAAAATATACAGCTTAACAAATAAATAAATAGTTTCAACTGATCTAATCATTGACAGTTCAACTGAATGAAAAAAAAATAGTTCTACAATATGCACTTTTGTATAAATAAATGGTAAATAAAATCTAAATTAAAATGAACAAGAGAAGTGATGTTAAAGTTTTGGTTCTTGACTTCATCTATCAGGCCTGTAGGGGTACATCGACTTAGAGGTTCCACTGACCTATAACTAAGTATCTTTTCATTTGCAGCTCTGTTAGTCCCCAACAAAATTACTTTTTCCCACAATTTGAGAAATATTTGTAAAGACTGCTTCAAGAAGTTAACTTTATCTGCTTTTTAAACATCTTCATGGTCTTGGGACTGTCGCCACAAAGTGACAGGAACAGAATGTACTGAAAACCAACAGATACACTGTTAATTTTTTTTTCGTTTTATGTAACTAAGATTTCAGCTGTTATGTTTTTATCACACTGTTGTTGCTAAAATGTTTGTGTACATTGTAGTTTATGATATAAATGTTGCCAAACATGAAAACCAAGAGACTTTGTCCCATTTCTGAAGCATAAAAGAGGACAACTGGTACACAGAAGCCATAGTTACACATCTATAAAATATAGTCTAAGCTCTCTAGTTTGTCATTAACTCATAATTTACTAGGTGTGACCCAATGGAGATGGTACATGTGCTATAAAAAAACAGTCGCAGTATGCTTGAAATGAGGCCATAAAGGCAAACACAATATGACAAAACTTGAAATGAAAACAAAAAATATGTAGCAGAAAATATGTAGAGCATGCAGATTAAACATGTGCTGATTTTCTCCTTTAGTCTTCTGTCTTTCTCAAACACACTCCCACTCTGTGCAAACACACACTGGATACATGCACCCACTTACACACAAAACTCTATTAAAAAGCATGTTTGTATATCCGTTACCGTCTCATGTGGTCACCCATCAACCACACAACAAGGTCTTCTCTGGCCACTCATTACCTGCTGACAGCAATAAAGCAGACACGCCCAGAGCTACCATGGGCAAAAGGTTAAACCATAAAAACAGCCTTCATTTCAGAAAGCACACAAATGATCAACAACACACCCAGGTACTATATAAGGCCAGTGCCCAGGACTCACCTGATTGGCTTGGTTTGGCGGGTGATGTCACCTCCTGGACCACTTGGTAATAAAACAATACGCAGATAAGGGTCATCAGCTCCTTTACAGCAGCAGCAAAGCAGCACCGGAGCGGCACGTAGACGCCACACAGAGTTGTGAAGGAAGCGTGCTGTGACGAACCAACACTTCTGGATTGAGCTGTAACTTGAGGAGACAGTTTACCTGGTGGAGAGAAAGGCGGACACAGAGGAGCTCAAAGGACAAAACAAAGAAGGTCTTCAGATATTTGTCAAAAAAATAAAAGGAAGAAAGCATAACAGGGAAATCGGACAGTCTTGATTGAACTAGGAGAAGAGACAGGACATTAAAAGGATTGTCTTTGTGCACGATGGCATCTTTTGGACTTGAGATTACTGGCATATCCCTGTCCTTGCTGGGCTGGGTGCTGAGCGTCATCAGCTGTGCCCTGCCGATGTGGAGGGTCACGGCCTTCATTGGCGCCAACATCGTCACTGCTCAGGTGTACTGGGAGGGACTGTGGATGAACTGCGTGTTCCAGAGCACGGGGCAGATGCAGTGTAAAGTCTACGACTCCATGCTGGCTCTACCTCAGGACCTGCAGGCCGCCCGGGCGCTCACCGTCGTCGCCATGATCGTGGGCTTGGTGGCACTCCTCATCGCCATGGTGGGAGCAAAGTGCACCAACTGCATCGAGGAAGAGGCAGTTAAAGCCAGGGTGATGGCTGCCTCCGGGGGTGCCTTCATCACAGCGGCCCTGGCCCAGCTAGTGCCTGTTTCCTGGTCGGCGCACACCATCATCGTCGAGTTCTATAGTCCGATCATCCCCATAGGACAGAAGATGGAGATCGGGGCGGCGCTGTACCTGGGCTGGGCTGCCTCGGCCCTGCTGCTGATCGGGGGGGCCATCCTCTGCTGCAGCTGCCCTCCGCAGGAAGAGAAACAAATGCGGTACAGCATCCACCCTCAGAGTCGTATTGCTTACTCTGCTGCTCCAAGGTCAGTGGCTCAGAGCTCCTACAAACACAGGGACTATGTCTGAAGGATGACAACAACATTGTGACTTTCTTTCTTCACATGTATCCTGCTCATCTGTACATTAGCAGGAAACATACAGAGATGTAACAATGAGGTTGGTTTAACTGAAACCAATTGTTTACTAGAACAGAGTAAAAAAGACAAACCAGATGTTTTGGGGTTTTAGATATTTTTCACTCTAATAGATATTGAATCTCTTCACAGTTGCTTGATGATACTGTTTACGCATTACCATTTGGTCTAGAACAAGCAAGGTGAAATGATAATTAACTTTCAAAAGGCTAAATGTAATAAAAGACGTGATTCATTGTCTGAGCTCAGCAAGGAGACATCGTAGCTCACAGAAAAATCTCTATTTTATATATTTATTTGTGCTCATAACTCTTGGATCTATTGTGGATGTTTGTCATCGTGCTGAACTTTGTACTGATCAGCGTGTGCACATACTCTCAAAGCAAATAGAGATACTGTTGGAACTGGAATGAGCTTTTATGTAACTTTTTTTTTGATGTACTTACAAAATACAGTCATGGGCTGAGTCGCAGCTGCAAAACATTGTACAGCATTGTACAAAACAGTGCTCAGGAAGGTCAAAATGGTGGAGAGGACCGTAGAAAGAATGAAGGAAGCTGTGTAAATTCAATGTTTGGTTAGGGTGATTGATATGCGAGTGATTTTATATGCTTCATCGCCATCACATTTCAACACTTATTGTTGCTGTGTTGGGACTCTTTTTTTTCTTTTCTTTTCTTTTTTTTTAAAAACAATGTTTATGTATTTTCTTTTTATGTGCATTATCTTTTATTTGTTTGTATAAACGTTCTGTGCCACATATTTTCTAACAGTTTTATTGCATTGTATATGAAGCATGCAACTCTATGAATGCAAATGTTCTGTTGATTAAAACACTTAAATGACAAAGTAATAAATATTTCTACTGCAAAAAATTACATGAGCCTAATTTATCCTGGTTGGACATGATTGCATGTTAAATACTAAAGCCACATATCTAAAACTGCAGGTTTCGATTCTGTATTCTCCAGGTATAAAAAAAGGATATTCAAAGTACCATATATGCAGTGTGTATGAGCACATTGATAGAAATCTGGAATACAGTGAATGGTCTTTTCTAACCGCAGCATGGGGGAAAAAAAGTGATGATGTTTCAGACAAGTGTGAAGATTGTGACACTTTCCCAACAAAGTTTCATATGAAAATCGTCAAATCTCACATGATGGTAAAGGACGTGTGTTTGGTGTTTGACTCAGTGTCTGAATCGCTGATAGCAACTTTTCCCTGCTTTGAATAGTCAAATTATTTCTGTGCCACTACAACGCATGACCAGTTTCGGCCGTTCTGAACAACACTGAACAAATGTCTTTCAACATTCAGGAGGAAATGTTAGCCTAGTTTAAGGTATTTGACCTCCTCTGCTAACATAAAGGACCCCAACTGAGTAAAAAGCACCAGTCTTAAAGTACACTACAAACATATTATCATCGATATAGCTACTTAAAATACCAAAAGTATACACAAAGACCCTTATATATAATAGTGTTAGACTATTAGATATTTTTTTCAATGCTGCTGCTGGAATTTACAACATATACTTCTGGGAAGCTTGTAAGTTTCCCCCATGGGTATCGATAAAGTCGTATCTTAACCGACAATACCACACTGTTTTATTTCTTAAGTGGCTCTGTTTTTTTTTTATTATTAGTCTGCATCATTAACTGCATATAAAGATGTTAACTAATTATCCATGACATCACCAGTAAAGGTTCTTGAACAGCAGTTTTAAATCTCACAGGATGGACTGTCTTGTGACAATGTCCACCTGTCACCCAAAGAGGCTCCTAATTTTAAGCCTTAACACAATTTAAACAGGTGAGTTATCTTAAAACAATTCGCCCCCTGTTCAGTTGTCATAAATGTGAAAATTTGCCATACAAAACAAAAACAATGTGCCACGATGTAAATAAGTTTATTCCTGCTATAAAGTTTGACTTTTCAACATGGGCTTCTATAGGGACTGACTCAGGTTTGGAGCAGCCTCAAGTGGACATTCGAGGAACTACAGTTTCTGCCTCTAGTCCAATAGGCTTTAATTTATCAACCCCAGAGTTTGTAGCTTGGCCTGAATCGGCCAAGTAACAAGAAAAGTTATCAAATAGATGTTGTGGACTTAAAAAGTACAATAGTTTCTTCTGAAAGCATAATACAGCAAAAAGTGGAAGCTCTGAAGTGAAACTCAAAACTGTACTGAAGCATTAGAGTTGATGTGCTTCCACCACTGGTGACGCCACAGTTTAAACACATGTAGGATCGTTTTAGTCGATGCTTCTGCTCTTGTTTTGGTAACACCAGTAGCCTACAGGTGATCTCAGTAGACACACATCGACTGATGTTGTGACATAAATACAAAAAAAACGTCTGATGGAGATGCTTGTGATGAAATGACAAACAACCTCCCTGTTGTTCAGCCGTTCAGTTTGTTTATAAGTTGTTGAGGGTTTTTTGTTCTTTTTTTTACTTTGTGAGACCTCCACACACATGAAAAAATGTGTGAAGCCTTTTTTTGTTTTTTTCTTTTACAACATGTGCTTGTATGTTTGACCAAAACACTGAATGAAGCCGTTATTTAAATGAGTGACAATTCATTGATGAAAACACTGACGTCTTTGTGAAACAGTTGCTAATAAATTAAGTATTTAGGTTCTAATTCTGAGGAATTCCAGATTGTCTTACAATCAGTGCAACACGGTACATTTGCTAATATTGGTTAATAGAAAATTCCCTGTACTTTAAGGAAAGTATTGAAAAATTTAACTGCTGACTGAATGACAGTCTAGTATTTAATTCCAGTTTAACACATATAAAGTAATCTCTGTGAATGACTCCTCTATGTATGTTCTAATTAACAGTTTCTGGGCATTTTTTACTTACATTTTTATCCACTGTGCTCTCACTGCAGTACAAAGTACTGCACCGCTATTTAAAACAGCACAACAAAGTATAGAGAACTCACGTCTATGTCCTGTGACAGAGTTATAATGCTATAAATCA